TTCATCCATGGTACCTTATGCTACCTGCTACCATCTCGTGTTCATTCGCCTTTATGTTACCGGTCGCTACCCCACCAAATGCTATTGTGTTTGCTGGTGGATATCTCAAAGTCAAGGACATGGTATGTACTACGCTTTGGTACAATTTTAATGGTCTTTTTTCTTCGTCTTTTTGCAGTGTAGTGTAAGTTAGCTAAAGTATTGCGAGGTCCGGGTACTTTGTAACATAATATAACACAAATCGTCTGGAAACTCAAAACACTCACTCCTCTACATAACGTGTCGGATCGTGATAGTACAGTTGCGAATCTGGCATGAAATACTATAAGCTAAAAATTGGAAAACATCACACCCAGCTTTATTTTCTTCACAGAATAGTTTGGGTCCCAAGCCCCAAAGCCTCTCCCTAGAACTATCATAAAATTTTAGAAAACGATTGCTTGCCGTTCCGAAGTGAGGATGGATAGCGTTAGTACTCATGCTGTCTTCAATGTAGCAAGTCTCATGTACACAAGTTTTGCCGATTGCAGGTTTCGCTCGGGCATCATAGCAGTTATATAATTTTTTTTCTTTTCCATCATTTTCAGGCAAAAGCTGGATTTGGAATGAACATCCTAGCCGTGATAGTGTTAGTGATTTGTATAAACACCTATGGTGTGTCCATGTTTGGTCTGGACACATTTCCCGCCTGGGCCTCAAGTGCTACCACACCAGGATCACAAGGAGGAGGACCGGGCACTAGCGCTAATGTAACGCTGCTTTGTCAAAATGTGACGTCTACATAGGGCAAATGTCAGTTACTAGTGACTAGAAAACATGTTAAACTATAGTTTCGCAAATTAGAGCGATACAAACCGCGCCACTGAAAGAATAGCTATCCTTTGTCGCATATACTAGCCAACATAATTAGGATTTACATGAAAGAAAACGTTCCGTTTTCAGAAGGAATATTAGGAAGTCACATTTTTTTTCCTAGTTTAGGCGATAGACAAAAGGCAAAATAACGGAACAATAACACAGAAAAGGTAGAAGTGAACAATCTTTCTTGTAATGCAGACAAGGGCGTTTGTTTGTGAATCGAGTTTAGATTAGTTCAAAGATTGTGTTTTTCAAACGCTTGCGTCAGTGAAAATATAGGTACAGACCAACTTCAGTATAGAATGTGCCCTACGCTGAAGGACTGGAGCTACAGATGTTTTGTAATACACGCACCAAGGCATTAGACTAAGGTTCAATTTCATTTGATTGGCCATTGTGTGATCATTTACCACAAGCACTATGAAAAACGGCGATAAAGTACTATATGAGAGCATTTGATTATTACCATTAATACCCACAGTACTGTAGGTTGCTAACACGGTCAACATGGTGCGAGAGCACTTTAAATTAAATGGCTTTATAAGTTAAGAAAAACAGCGTTTATATTATAAATACTTTATTACAAGCGCGCGTAAAATCACTACAGGATCAATCATGTAAGCTTGTGAATAGTGACTCAATGTTCTTCCGTAAGGTTCAGCTTCACGAAAGGAAAAGCCTGCGTAGCATGGCGGTTTTGGTTGGGCGCGCTAAGTAATAAAGGCGGGCGAGGGCAGAGAAACCGCGAGGAGATTGGGGCGGAAGCAACTACGCCGCTCCTGCGCCCGGCTCGACAAAACCGCCATGCTACGCAGGCTAGAAAGGAAACTAAAACATGTTAACAAGCCTTGGAATCTGGCAAGAATCTCGAAGATTTAGAAATTCATTATGTCTCGGGGCATTCGTGAGTTCTTTTTTACAAAGAGAAAATCCGAACTTTGCATGTTACAATCCTCGATCCTCGTAAAAAGAACTGTGAAGCAAAGATCGGAGCAACACCATGATGCGTTCAGCAGAATCAATCAATGTTCTTTTATCCAAGCCTTATTATGGTTTGCTTTGTTTCCTCCTAAAGTAATAACGATCCATACTCTTGGACTGAAACAAACACCATCATCTAAAGATTACTGGGAACTTCTGACCCCATCCAGCTTCGCTGGGACGTCCAACAATGAATTACGAATCTGGACAAACCAACAGCGCACGAGAACAACTAACTCTGGGACGGTCTTGATATTCTCTAACTACCCTCAAAACGTACCGCATAATCAAGTCACACCCCGCTTTTCAGTAGACTCAGTGTCACTACCAAGTTTGAAGGTGTTCAGTTCTGACTAACTGGCCTTTGACTGTGAAGCCCACTATTGTGTATGTAAAAGGTACAGGAGACAAGTAATTTCTGCAACAAACCAAAGGCAGAAGATTACATTGACGTAATTCTTTCAACCGAAAACCTCGCAGTAGGGAAAAATTTTCTCACTTCCTAAAACTAATTTAACCTCGAACAAGAAGAACTGACTGCCTCTAACTGGGGACTTTGCACGAAATCCAGATTAACATTAAAACTCATGGCAACACTTTCCCTGTGATGCCGTTTATTATTAGGCAGGGTCGCCGAGAAGTCAGAGCGCTGGACTTTCAGTAATCCGGCGGCCCAGAGTAATGGAAGTCCTACCCTGACCGCTAGCTGGATTTGTTCTTGGTATGTCCTGACTTCAAATCCACGGCCATTCTTGTAAAATAACCACCTGGTTCGTTTTCTACCTGACCAGTTGCGATTCAGCATTCTCAACCTTGCTATGTTCCATTTAAATAAATTTGTTTAATTTTCCTTGACATAGTTAACTATGTCCTTGATGATAATGGTAGAGGATAATAAACTATTTATCATCATTATCATTATCATTATTGTATGTACAGAGTGTATGATTTTCGAACCGGTACAATTCGTCCCCTAGATTCCCTTTATCGTACGTTTTTTTAACCTGATCCAATTTATATAGAGTAAAAAGAATGAAGGGTAGTACCTGTCTTGAAGACTTGATTACCGTAGCAATCCTTTCTGTACCGTCCACCTGGGATATTGGACTTCTTTGTATAAACAATCGTGTATTTGGTACATGAGCCCAGGTTGGTCCCAGAGCAGGTTTCGTAGAAAATGAAGACTTGGAGGAGTCAGTCACGACATTGTTAGTGATCTAAATAAAAATGGCACAAAAGACAGATTTTGATTAGCGTCTTCATCCAGATTCCCAGTCGATCTTTGTGAAAACAGAATTTGTAGACAGTGAATCAGTCAATCTAATCACCTAGTCTATATAAATATTGTAATTCTGTTTCACTTATATAATCATGGCCACAAGTCTCGGGACAGATTTCCATCAGTCTGCCCAACCCCTCCCCCCATCCCCCTTACAACGTTGAACGCGTGTATCCATAATATGCATGTACCTGTCTGTCTGTCTGTCTGTCTGTCTGTCTGTCTGTCTATCTATCTACATGTAGAGTTTGAAAATTGTATAGGGTCGGGGAGGGGGTACTGCAGTGCATTTGTCAAAAAGATAGCACTGCTTTATAAAGGAATCCTGAAATTTCAGATCATTGCAAAAAAGAAAGTATTGGGCATTTTTTCACGCAACTTTGCTGTCACTGTGAAATTGGAGTGTCAACACAAGATACCACAAAAAAAATACGAGTATTAATTTGATAAATGTACTGTAGGTTAGCTGACGGTACATGACCAAAAACGAAACGTACAAAGTGACGTATTAATAAAAACGAACTCGGAACTAAAAGTTGCTTGGACTCTGGGATTTTCTGGTCAGATGAATAATGATTTCTCTTCCCTAAGGATAATTCATGCGTGGAAACAAACAAAGATAGGTTTTATCCTCTCTTGGTTTTATCCTTTCTTGTCATATCCATTGCTGCCCCATTAGTACAGCTGTGTTGAAAGCGCGCCGGTTTGTCAGCCTTTCGCACTGTACTCTCGCGCTTATCCCTGAAAAGCCCCAAGGAGAGTGTATGATAAAATATTTCATTACAGGAATCCTCTCTTGATGACACAAATTGCAACACTCGAGGAAAATGTGTTTGCGGGTCACTGAATAATTGGACTCACCTTCAAGCCTGACAAATCTTAAAAATAATAATTTAACGTATGGAGATACATATGAAGTTTTTTTTCATTTTTAACACAAAACTGATCTAACCAACTGTCATACTTACCACAACTGCAACTGAATGCTCGACAGCCAGGGACTTTAAGATTCTAGAGAGGTTCACCATCAAGGAATGACCTGAGATAATAAGACAGAATGACAACTATAGATAGAGTCTGGGGACAGGTATAAAAAATACTTGTAAATGTACACACACTGTAGTGGTGGTGGTGTGGTAGTGAAATTGGTTGCAGTGGCAGTAGCAAGAGTGGCAGGGACAGTGGTAGCATAATAGTGTGTTTTACGTAAAAATGACTATGATAAGAACACATGAATATTGAAGTCCTCCTTCAGAAAATAACATTACCACTATACTTAATTTTTTTTTAAAAAATAAGTAATCTACCCGTTTCAAATTTTAGGCTAAATACTAATTAGGTTTTTGTATATGAGAGCTGACTAACTGGTAAATTTTAGCCTGATAAGTTTTTTAAAATTTGGAAGTTGTTACTAGTGCTTTCTAACTGTAAAATTGTTTGTTAGTAGTCAAGACTGAATAACTGGGGCAGAAAGGGCTACCTACATAAAGTTACAGCCAAAAAAGATTTATTTCTTTTATACATTGTTATTACCATGAATTTGTTGGCCACCCAGAATGGGGGACACCACAGCTGCAACTGAGTCCACTATTATCATCCTTAGCTGCTGCATTTCATCATCATTTTCCTCAGTCTAAAAAAGCATAACATTAAATTAATAATGACTGTTATAAAAACTCGCAAGAATTATGACTTCCAGGGGTGTAAGTTTGTTAAAACCACAAAATTTGTACCAATTTCATTGATTAAATACAATTTCAGTGGCAACATATTACAAAAGGCTTTTATTCACAGTGTAAGTAACAATTATTCTCTTAAACTAACCCAGATAGCCTATACTACATGCAATAATGTAGTTATACCTTGCTTTCTCTAATATCTATTGCTTACCATCAGTAAATACATACATGTACAGGATTAAATACAGGATTATATCTCAGTCAGTAGAGCACTTGACTGCAGATCTAGGGCAGGAGGTTGTGGGTTTGATTTCTAGGGCTGAGCAGGGTCTTAAAATAACTGAGAAATTAAGGTATTGTCTTTGCCCTGCCAAAGCCTGAACCTTTGAGTGGCTTGGATGACCACATAAAATGGCAATCCTGTCTCCAGTAGGCCATTGTAAAAATAGTGTTCTCAATTACTACTTTCATGCTAAACACATTAACGATCAGGCTCTATTAGGGTATAATTCCAAAAAGCAACATGGCCTTGAGACAGCAACATACATGTAGGACGGCAGAAATGGTGACAAATAACACAAAGATGGGTGACAGCTAAAACAAAAAGCACAATTACAATAGAAAAATACTGACAGAGACATAGCTTCCTCCTCCTCAATACAATGAAAAATAGGTTTTGAAAAATTAATCAGATTAGGGACACACATACTTCATGTCGCCCCTGGAGGGCCTCATTGACACTCAAGTAATGTACATTTTTTTCCAATTTATTAGACAATATTATAGTATTTTGAATTCTTACATTTACATGTAGCTTCTGTCTTACACCTTCAAGAACATCCACTACTGAGAATATGTCAAAGGCTTGAATAACTGATATTCTGGACAATATATCACACACTTCCTGAAAAAGAAGCAAAACACATTGATCAACAGAAAACAGCTACATTGTAACTGTATGGGGCAACTAGTTTATCCCCAACCCTCCCTCACCCGGGTTTAAATAAAGAATGAAGCAAAACTGGAATTTGTGAGGTGTGGGTGTGCTAACCCAAAAAACCCTTCATGTGGGAAAATTGGATATTTTCTGGAGGAAGGCATTACCACAACCAGAATGGCTGCTGATTAAATGATGAATGCAAACCCTTGAGAATAACACCATGAAGAAAAAAAAATTAAAATGTATTTTTATTTTCTTTTTTTTTCTTTTTCTTTTTTTTTTCTTATTTTCTTGATGGCTTCTGACCAAATTCCTTAGAGTATTCCATACTTACATACCTGATCCTCTAGAGAACTGTTCCACCCTTGTAACATTTCTCTGATCCTGGTTCCACTCATTGAACCACCTGTGTCAACATACAGAACATTCTTTTTTGTTTTCATTGCAGTTGACAAGGCAATATTCATACAGATCTGAAGAAATCAACAATAGAAAATTATTAGTTTCTAAAGTCCCAGAAAAAATCCAAACTAAACAATTTATTATTCACAATTCAATTATGTTGATTATATCATTATTTTTGAATGGTCACAACCGTAGGAATGAGGTTACATTGTCTTGAGATTCACCTGAGATTTGCCTGCACCTGCTGCTCCAACAATTTCAGTCAATTCTCCAGAGTACAACCCTCCATCAAGGAGTTCATCTAAACTAAAGAAAAGATAACCAACTAAATTCACCTACACTGTAGCCTTACATTTTTTGTTATGTCTACATGTGTAATATTGGCTGTAGTGCACTAAAATTAATTTGATTTTTTCAGGAATTGATGTATAAGCTTTACCCCGATTATAACACCATACAACCTTGCACCCACCCCAATTAAAAACCCCCTTGTGACCTTTTTTTAAGAAAGCATTAACTAGTGTCAAAAAAAAAATCATAATACATACCATGAAATTTTATTACTTCAGTTATTATTTTATCTATAACTGACAAAGCATTGACATCAGCACAAAGATGAGACATTAAAAACTGAGCAGTACTTACCTATCACAGCCTGTAAAAAGAAAAGTAAAACCATGATTAACATTTGAAATGTGTGGTTCTAGAAAACAGCCATACCTACCCTACTGAGGGCTATTAGAAATTTCATGGGCAGGGGAGGACTCTTACCAGCCTAAGCGAAGAAAACCTTGAACATACAGTATACTTAAAGAAAAGGTGAAAATCAACAATTTATGTAAATTTTCAGGAGGCCAAATGGTTTGTCAGCTAAGAGGGTGATCTGGTTGGAAATGTAGTGAAGATAGATAATTCTTTTGTTTTAAATCAAAGCATTGCTCTTACAAGGAGAAATTTGAGGGTTTAAAGGGTTAAATACCCTGCCTTCTTATTGCATATACAGTACGGCCCCAGGCCCCAGCAAATTGAAATCTTGGTGAAAGCCCTGAACACTGTTGTTACCTGATGAGATGATACCGAATCTAGACATCATATCATCATAAAAATCTCTTCCACTAAGAGTAAATGCAGCCATCTGAACAATGACGGTTTGTTGAAGGGAACATAGTACCTAAGAAGGAATCACAAACAAGAAAAAAATCAAAAAACTAAAAATTTGCTTTCTATTATGAGTACAAATACAAAAGTTGAGGCCTTCTGATCCAGATGCAATATATTAGCTTGCAAAGTTTGGGCATGCACAGAAAGCAAAATTTCTAGATAGTTTTTGGGTTTAAAAGTCACACAGCAGTCTCGACTTTTACTTTTCACTTTCTCTCTGCCCCTCTTTTTTTGCTTTTCTTGCCTCATTTGTTTTTTCTTTTGCTGGGCATTTAGTAGGCTTCATTTTGGTGGGAAAGCTTTTAGGATATTATGATTTGATGAAGGAAAGGTAGGTGGGTGGTGGAACAAGATTTTCATGGAAATTTCGGGTCAATGTTACATGGGTTTCTGCCTTTTCTCTAGTGTCCTTGACTGACTTGTGCTCATCCTGGTATGGTTTGAGAAATCTCTTCACTCTGCACAAGTTAGCGCATGGACAAAGTTGTTCTTGACCATTAGAACTGATGATGCCATCACAAGTGGTAGAGAGGACATGGATTTGCACGGGCGGTTACAGGCAGCTCAGGGGTGAATGGGTTAAATATAAGACGGTCACAGCATCTGTTTTATTAAATAAACCTAACACCAAAATGTCTTACATGGGGAGGGGGTGCTTACAGTGTAGTTTTCTTACATGGTGTGTGCAACTGCATCATTTAATATCAAAGCAAGTTAAATAGAGAGCTTTGTACTACTACCATACCATTTCAGGAAGTGAAATCTTCTGAGCTAATCTCTCAGCATTACAGGATATGAAATCAGCAACTGAAAGGTTAGGTGCATGTTAAAGTAAGTTGAAGAATATTTTTGTATGACATAGTATACTACCTGTATATGATCTAATAGATGCCCACTCTCAAACAAATGCCTCTTATAAAAAAGAATGCCCCCTCTACAATATTAATTAAGTTTGTATTAAATCCCTCTCTCCAATAAACACTCCCTGTCTAATAAACATTGTCTATTATTACTCCAATTGGCAAAAAGGAGCAAAAACATTCAATCAAATTCAGTTTCTTGCTTGGATTTGCTTACTGTATCTTGTTTAATGTCATGTTCAAAGTAAGGACAGACAAACAATGGCAAAAAAATGACACTTAAAGCAAGGATTCTGACGTGTCCCGATGTTGAGATTTAAAAGAGCCACCAAAAAACCTAGACAGCCTATTGATGGACTGGATATTCTGCTTATTTTACCCTCTTGATAAGATATAAGGATAAACACCTCCTACAGGTTTGTATCTATTAAATGCCCCCTCCTGGACCCCTAAAATTAAGTACACGCCCTAGACATCTAATAGAAAATTCGCTATTTATATTAATCTCACTGGGACCATCTGCAAACAATACTGAGAATACTACAGGGAGACTCAGCTCTAATGCAGTAGGTCTTCCAGTACCTAATTTGAAAGTAAAATCCATAAATCCTACAGTCTCTACGTGTATACTCCTCCAAAACTAGAGAAAGCTAGCATATTAAAAGGGCAAAAGAACCAACCATGGGAGGGTAATGGAGTCAGACAAATACACCAACAACTGAAAAATGACACAGAATGAACAGCTCTAGAAATGGGAAGACAAAATCTAGACTCTAAAGAGGGAAATGGGTCCGGGCAATCTGTGAGTCATGTGAGCCACAGGAAAAAATATAGTTTTGTGACACTGTACATACATGAATAATGTTTCCTGCTTTTAAGTTCCCTATGGGTATGTGCGGTTTTCCTGCTGGAATATTTGCAGAATTATGCAGTCTTGATCAACTTATACTGATTAGGGTTAAGCCGTCATTTAATTGACGTGTGTTAAGCACTCATTTTACAGATTTAGATTAAGCACTGTTTTCAGTTAAACTCTCAAAACACTTAGGGTTAAAGTTTTTATGCCATGTTTTGTTGTCTTGTTTTTTATAAGACTTAAGGAACTGTGACATCAACACTCATTTACAACAATTAGCTTTTGGTTGTTTCTTCCGTAAAACTGCTTTTTTTGATTTTCCCTGCTAATTTCTTTGCATGGCTTGCTGGTTTGCACCACAGGTACCCCAAGCTCATGAGTGAGAAACTGAGAATCGTTGGGTAAAAAAAAAAATATTATAAGGATTTGGGATCTTCTTTACTGTGGGTAATGTCAACCGAGATATGATTTGCATAGGGATTTAAGGTGGTGGGAGAGGGGACAATTTTCTCCAAAACAATAACAGCATTGTCCCCTTGCCCACCTGGTGTGCATGTAACTTGAACCATAAGGCTGGGGTCACTAGGGTCACTTTTTTCATAATCGTGCATGGAGCTTCATGGCAAAGCATCATTGATGGTCCTTGATAAGAGAGATTCGTTGCTTTAATGAGCTGATATTTGTGCTGACTGCAGTCACTTTTGCCAATGAAGAAAAGCAGTAGTTAGAGGAGCATTGTAACATGCCTTGGTTAAATCTGGTAGCAATTGAACCATTTAGAGTGAATTTACGGCTGATTTCATCCAGCTGATATGCGAGACCTTCGCTGCAGGTAACCCACAGTATACCTTGGGGAATTAAACAACAGCAGAACAAAACTCACTGGAATCGCTCAGAAACGGCCAAAAATGCTAAGAAAACACCATAAATGTAAACAAGGAAACAAGGTAAGAAATTTTGATGCATTTTTATTGCCATTTTTGACCCCTAAATAACGAACCCTTATAATATTTCTGTTACCTAACGATTCTCACTCGTGATCTTGGGGTACCGGTGCTCACACTAACGAAAAGTGTCCTAACTGAAACAGCGAAGCGACCCCAAAATGCCCTATGCAGGGACAGAGCAATGTACAATTACATATCCTCTTCAGGGAAGCCAAGCTTAGGGACAAGGCTAGAGCTAAAACAAAACAAACTCACCAGTTTTGACTCCATTCTCCTGAAGCGCATTAAGATGACTGGGTTGTAAAGAACCACAAGACAGTGACAAAAGACGATGCATACTAGTCACAGAACTGAGGTCACCATCAACGTCCTGTTGATACGCCTCACCCCAAAACCCGAGGCTTTACACGGTATTAGAACCAAGTCACGATAGCTGCAATCAACCACCTTCCATCTTGGTTTCTCAATAATACGCCAGAAAAATTCATAAGCACCGTCATAAAAAAGCGTAAGCGTATCAGGCTGCAACAGTAGAGGAGCGAAAAAAGCCAGGCATCGATGTTTGGAAGGGCTTTGTGGAGGTCTGAGACTAGACTCCAGTTGCGCATGCTATCCAATCACGTTGCCCGTTCCGCTCGACAAAGCAACGCGAACTGCATGCTATCAAGCTGTCGCTTTGAGCTAAGGTGGCTCGTACCACTTGTCACCTTAAAAGAATACAACAAAACATCAGGCAAAAGCAATAGCAGCACTTTTGTTGGATTGAATTATAAAATTAAGGCTTGGCTTAAGATTAATGTTATTTCGCTATTAGTATAGCGGTTGCCATGGCAACGAATCCCGAATAAATTTCACAGACTTCAAAGAAAATAAAGCCTTTGAGCCCCACTTTTTTCGGACGATGACTTTTGGCTTTAAAAAAAGGAAATGCACAGTGACTTTTTTTTTGCAAAAGTGGAAAATACTCAGGACGGAGAAATCAACCTCGTCCCCAGGGCTTTTCCCTTTAAAAATGGGTGGGGCGGGAAAAGGCCCTGGCATCGGCTGGTCACGTGTACAGCCTAAATATTCCTGAGAAGCTAATTTGTATGCAACCCGCTGGTTTTGCGCTGACAGAAGTCGAACGGAGCAACAATGGAAAATAATAATATCGCGAACTATGTCAATATTTTCGCGTGTGTGTGATTCAAAAGCTTAAGATCCATTTAATTGCGTATTATTCAAATGCTACAAGTTTATGAAACGGCGTACCGGCTCTACGTTGTCACGTACAAAATATGTCAAATGCTTCAGAGTTGAGACAAGCTGTTATCGAGTGGTACTTCAAAAATTCATCGTGACTGTGGAATTACTGTACGATCAAGGGGAAAGTGATTTTGTTCAATGTCACACAAAAATGCGGACCTTTGCCTCCAGGATCTGCAGTGAATTTGAAATAGAATTGTTCATCAAAATTCTGGTCATCAAAATGCGAGTCTGGTCTTCTCTACAACCCGACCATGAAACAAACAAATCTCCGCACCGGATGCAAGTCAGCCCTCCAGCCAGGAACGGTGACAGGTCGCCGATCTGAAACATTTGAAGACCTCTTGTATCTTTTCTCTTTCGAGGATAAGAATGAAGGATTTTCCTTATATTAAAGGGAAGATTGACCGATCGACTGGAATCAACTACAGCTCTGTGAATTTTAAATGGACCCAAGTGTTTCTTTGTTGCCAGTCGTTTGATCGCAGAGGTCAATGAAATTTTCAAAAATACAGGTCATACAAGATAAGTCTAAACCAACGCGTGTCGCTATGATATGGCTGAGAGTTAAGGTGTTTAGAACTAGGTTGTCTACGGCGGTCCACTTCGCGAGAAATGAAATATCAGAGGAGTCGCGAAAACGGACTTTTCCAGTACAAACTTTATGCATGTGCGACGGCTTGTTTGTCATTTATATTTACTTACATCGCTCTATAAACGTTGTTATAAATGTTACTCGCTGTCCCCTTCATAGAAATTGGAGGAAAGCAAAAAAATACCATAGCCAGTATCTGTGACAAAAGGGAAATCTTGTAAAACTTTTCGTCAGTCGTCAAGAGATATAAAAGCCCGCCCGAGATCGCGCGCTGTGAGGTTACGCATAATTTTAACTTTTCACATAGCGATAATTTATTACACCCAGGATTTTAGGGTGTAGGAGGGGACACGTGACCAGCCGATGCCAGGGCCTTTTCCCGCCCCACCCATTTTTTAAGGGAAAAGCCCTGGGGACGAGGCTGCGGAGAAATCAGTAGTTTGTAACTTTGTCTTTTTGCTCTCTCTGTAATCTTTGGAATTAACACAATTAAAACGTCTAGACATTTCAATGATATTTCAGGTGTAAATGCAATATTGAGGGCAAAATTTATTTATTTTCATACATTTTCTACACTAGTGTATTTATCGTCAGGAGCCCTTGTCCTGACAAAGTCTCCTAATTTCAACGGTCTCCTGTAACTCGACGTCGCCGCGTCTAGCACAAAGGTAACGCTTCAGTGGTTAATTACTTGACACCATTTGGTAAAAGTTTGGCCCGCCTATGTACAAACCAGAACTTTAAAAAATTGGTTTGAAGTGATTTTTAACCAGTTTCTGAAACAGAAATTACAGTTGCGCATGCTTTTTTTATACAGAACTCAGCCCTCTGAAACAACACTAACCGGTAGCGCAATGGACTAGCGCATTCGACTTCTACCATGCTCTGAGTATTTCACAGAATCACGTAGGCCTTGACACAAATATCAGGATATTTTTTGAGATCTTTAGAAGTTTCCGAGATATTTAGAAAATTTTAGAAAATTTTAAGATGTTTAGAAAATTTGGGGATATTTAGAAAACTTTATAGCTTTTTTTGGCTGTTTTTCAGCTTTTCCTCGCTATTTTCTTGACAGAATACTCAGTTCTATCATTCTACGCTAGAAATAATCCAGTTCAGCGGTTTCCCACTTGAATAATGTATTCCATATCACTAACAGCCATTTGTCAAAATGGCGGGTGCTGGAAACAATGAGCCTAAACTTTATTTTATTTCCTTAATACTAGTGTACACAATCTCTGACATACTTTTCAGCTCCCGCTGGGGAAAATTTTAGCCTAAGGAAATCAAAATCGGCTTAGTTTTTAACACAAAATACGAGATATTTAGAGGATTTTTCGAGATATTTAGAAAATTTTGGGGATATTTAGACTTTTTTTTGAGAATTTCCAGAAAGATATATACGCGATTTTACGTGATATTTGTGAAAAGGCCTAGAATCACGCCATATCACGTGTCCCCGAGAGGGCAAGAGTCCAAGTTGATGTCTTGCAAAGAAAATATAGGATGGACAAAACCAATCTTAGAAACATGATTCTTGCATGTTGCCCATGTGGCACACGGCGTTCTTGTAAAGCAGGAAGTTTTCTTTTTTTGACGCTTAATGTTAGTTCAATTTCAGTTGATTCATTCAGTTATATTCTATTGTATAATTTCATTAGTAGCTAGTTTTTCTTTCTTTTTTAATTCCTTTGTAATTGCCTGAAGGACTTAACCGTATCAAATAAAGTTATCTTATATTATCTTACTTCTGAGATTAGAACGCCAACAAAAGATATCTTAAAACCCAGTTTAAATTTGCATATAACACATCCTTTGTCATTCATTTGGAATAAGAAAATATTGGATTTTGATTAGGCTGCGTTGCTCTTGGAGAATCCTAATCCGGGATATAATCGAATTTAAAGAAAAGGGATTCTGGTTTTACATGAATCCAAAATGAAATCGCTGGAATTCTTGATTTTCAAACTAAACGTTGATTCAGCGGATAAAATCTGAATCGAGTACCACTACGAAGAAATCAAGATCACTCAGTTCTGCTGCTTTTAGAGAGACGGAACACCCCTCCCTACGGTGGCCCATAGAGCACACGGTACCTTCATTTTTATATCGCGCGATAAAAAAACAGTTTATCGCGCGATATAAAAATGAAGGTACCGTGTCCTCTATGGGCCACCGTACCTCCCCCACTTCCCCGACTGAAATATTTGGTCATTGCGGGTGCCATTTGAACAGCGTTGCTTCGCTGGCATGGAAGAAATTCGCTCACAGAATTTACTCTTTTCTTGGGTGACGAGATTTAGTCTCTCATTTTCCTTGAAACTTGAGTTTGGATTTCTTCCGAGGAGACGTAGCCTTAAGAAATCTTTCCGTGAAAAATTTTTCACAACATGTTACATTGCAGATTACTTTATTCCTGTATGGTCCTACATGAGATATACTTGAGTTCACTTAATAATTATCTGTGGTTTCGCTCTTTTCATTTCTAACAAATACTGAGCTCCATTTACAGATTATAGTTACGTCAGTATTAAAGAGCAATAAGAATAATCCCCTTCTAACCTGAAACTCAAAATATGGTTTCTTTTTATTGTAGGATAAATATTTTTTTCGCTTTAAAATCGGGCACTAAAATTCTCCCATCTGGAGTTATTCCTATGCCTGTGGGTTTTTGCAGCGTAGCAACGGTTTTTCCAGTGAATGAACCTTCCATTGTCAACTGTAAAATTCTCTTATTGTCACGGTCACAAACAAGAATGTTGTGATGATTGCCACTTTTTTCAATTGACAAATCCCGAGGCCAACTGTCCATCCGCTTTACCTTTTTCTCCAATCCTACAGAGAAACTTCCCAGGACCTTCAAAGATTTTTAAACAGTGGTTGCCAGAGTCAGCAACAATGAACGTATTTTGGTAAACTATACCTGCCATGGGATCCTTAAGTGTTCCTGAACCAAAACTAAACACTGGTTCACCTTTTGTAAAAACCTGTATTCGGTTGTTGTTTGAGTCTGCTACAATGATCCGTTCCTCGCCATCCATAAAAATCCCCACTGGATTCCTTGACTCACCCACGCCGTCCCCTCTCCTTCCAAAAGCTCTCACTCCTTTTCCCGTTTGTACATTAAACTGCTGAATGCGGTGATTTAACTCATCTGCCGCAAGAATCTCGCTATTATTTATAAATGTTATACCATATGGAGTGTTAAGCTGTCCAATACTCCGTCCTTTGCAGCCAATTTTTCACAGGTAATTTCCTTCTCCATCGAACAACAGGATACAATGGCCACTGGAGTTGGTTACAGCGATCAACCGGCAATACTTCGTGGGTTCTGTATAGTTTCCCCTTTCAAATCCAACTCTCCCACAACTTCAAATCGTCGTTGCTTCACCTGAACGTGTCCAGTAAAAATACTCTTCGGGCTGAGTTTACCAGTGTTTACATCTAATTGAACGTTGTAACTGCCAGGAACCTTAGGCGTGAACCTGACCTGAAAAGTTCCATCTTCTCTTTTAGAACTGAGTCGTCAAACTTCCAACTTCTTCGGCTGGTTCTATGTTAAGGCCGATCAATTCTGCTTCCACACCAGCTTGAAAATTATGTTCCTGTCCTTCTGGTTCACTGGTTGCTACGAAACCTAGAGTCAGACTCTCTGGTTCCAAAGTGGAGACGAACCTCACAAATGCAGAAACCGGAAGTGTTGGAACCAGGGACTCGTTAAGATCTATAAATCGCTGCTCCAACGACTTCTTGCTCTGCAATATATCAGAGCTGGAGCTTCTTTGAACCAGATTCTCGGCAAATTCGATTGCCTGATTGATTTGCTTTGCCAGCGACTGCACTTGTGTCTTTAAAGAGCTTAATTTCTCAGTCCTAGACACGCGTGTGTTCTCGAGAGCGTTGATAGCCTCTCTCTCGCGTTCCCGAATCTTCGCGATGATTTGCTCAGCTGCTTCGGAAACTTTGCATTTTGCGGTAGAGACGTTAGTTTCCAGATCAAGAATTATATGTTCAAATTCGCGAACCACATTGTTGCAAATGTTTCTCTTTTCATTCATCAGCTCGGTTCCTGTTGTGATTGTAGCTTTCACGTGATCAGCTGCTTTATCAAGTGGATCCATATCATGATTCTTGTGATCCGTGACCACGCAAACCTGACAAACACAAGTTTGACATTCGAGGCAAAAAAACCTCGTCAATTCTCGTTCGTGGTACTGCTGAGAGCAAAACGACTTACGTTTTAATAAAGCTTCGTAGTCTTCAGCTTGAAAGTGCTTGGTTCGTCTGACTTTGTGACCATCAAAAGCCATATTCCTAAGTAGTTCATGTGCGTTCACACAGTCAAGGCACATAAACGTTCCGCAATCGAAACAGAAACTTGTCTCAACACTCTTTTTTCTACAGTTGCCACAACTGATCTCACTTCCATCGCTACTTTGTTGTACAGCTAGGAGTCCTAACAGACTATTCTGCAGAAAACCGGTCGGTAGTTGATCGAAGCCACGTTCAGAAACGCTAACTTCCCCCTGGCACTCGGGGCAGCGAAACTTTCCTTCTCGCTGAGTTGTAAGAGCGTGTCTCTTCAAACATTCGCAGCAAAATGTGTGGAGACAGGCGATTGTCTTGGGTTCAGTGAAGGTATCCAAACAAATCGAGCATGTAACGTGTTCTTTAAGGTTTTTCAAGAGAGATTCCATATTATACAGTGTATCTGCACCATAAAGATTGCGGAGTAACTCAAGCGCTTTTATAAAACACACCTAGATGTAAATTATGATTCCGAAAAGCTTGAACGAGTGTTAAGATTGTTTCGTGCTTATTTTAGCAGCCAACCAGAGAGACATTAGATTAACCCTCTGACCTCGAACATCAAGTTTGTTTTTCACATTATCCGATATTACGTTATGATTCCAAAGAAAAGAAACGTTATTTATGGTCTTTAGTTACACAGGAGAACATGCCAACACAAAAAACATCGACCAAAAGAAAAAGAGAAAGGAAAAATATTCACATCTGTATTTATTTGTCACATGTCAGGTCACGTGACTTGACTACTTCTAGACACATTTTAGCAGCTTGCGGGGTAGACACAGTTCTTTTTCCTAGCTGAGTCAAACAAAATGATTCAAAATTGCGTAAGGTGCTCCAAGTTATGGGCTAGTATAGTAAATGAATAGTTTAAAAATTGCATCCACAAGGTTGCCAAATTCACAGGCGTTGTGGGCCATGAAGGCAGAAACTTGCTTCTCACCATAAAAACGTCGGTAAAATTTCGCCGGCCAATGGGACATGATTTTTTTAACATTAATTCTTAACGAAGGGTGCGGACAGAGGTCCATTTTTCACCAGACAGAGCGATTACCCATGCACAACGAGCTCCCCTCCCCACTAGCCTGCTTTGAAGCTCTCTCGAAGGGTACTCCTCACGGGCCATAATATTCAATATTTTCCCATAAGCCCATGTGGGCTGTGGTGGAAAGAACATGGCGTCCCGACGATGGTCTGTGTTGGTTGGAAGGCTGCAGACAACGCGATGTATTCGAGGGACATCGCCTTTGGGAGGTGCAAACTACTCTGCAGAAAAAGAAATAGGTAGCAAAGTTTACAGGAGGTCATTCATGACATCCCTTTTTCGTCATGGTAAGGCGATCGCATATCTCAGACAAGTCAGAAAACGACAAATATCGTAGGCTTCCAAATAACGTATGATGTGGGCTGTAAAATAAGGCTAAAATAAACGTCATTGTGATCGTTGTTTTTTTTTTTGTGGGGAGGAAACGACCACTGTCATTTTTCAACTGGTTGGGCTTGATCGATTCAGTATTAAAGGAGGAATCAAAGGCATAGACTTCCAAATGCACTGTTGCATAAGCGCGAGTGTTATTTGTTGTTCTTTGGATAGAGGATGATCTTTGGTCATACGGCGATTTATTAGCGTGGTTACTTAGATCTAAATGTGATTTCCGCGATACTCCTGTGTTGTCCAAAAATAGACTCCAATGGAGTTGGGGATGTGGGGAAGTGTTGGGCTATACTATGCCTTTTTTGCAGGGGTATTGGCTTTAGAGTTTTAATTACATCAGGGTATGGGCTTTTTCCTTCACACTACCAAAGACTAGGTTTGTGTCATGTCAATCAAACAAACTTGTCAAATGTAGATTATTGTGAGGGTGGTAGATAAGTGTATTTTTTGTTATCAACAGGGTAAGGGTTTGATGTCCAGAGTAGAATCGTGTGGAGGGCACTTTAGGAATTTCTGGGTGGGGATGTGCTGCTGGGAGCCTGGAACCCTTAACCTTTACCAGAGCTAGTTCAGCTGAATTTTGCTACCCTATACTAGAGTAAACTCCCCAAATCCCCCTATCCTAGAGTAGCTGTGTACCTAGTCTAGATAAAATCTTCAACCAACTGATCAGTTTCCTGAAAAATGATACCCTATTCTAGAGCCAAACGCTCTGATTTATATACCCTATCCCAGAGTAAACTGCTTGAAAACCATACCCTTCACAGCGGCACATACCTATATAGCCNTATCCACACCCAGGGAACTATGTCAGTGACAAATCAAACCTTTTATTTTACTACAAGATGAGACTTGAACTGTTTGTTCTAGCTGCAGCATCCTTTTCTCTCTTTTCGTGTTTGCTCTTTGTCCATCCCTGGAAAAAGAAAACAAAAACCAGGAAGAGAACAAAAAAAATTGTATACCTTGTTTCTTAAAAGGTGACAAATGTAGTTATTTCTTCTTTCATCTTGATGATTGGCTTTTGATGCCTCCATGCAAGGTTAAAGTTCTCATATTGGAATTTTCTGGATATGATCAAGGCAGAGAGGACTAGCAATCAATATAAATATGAAAGAATATTTGAACTGCCACCAGTTTTAAATGGTAAGGTTTATTAGGTGATAACATTATTATATAACATACAAGTATTCATGAAACTTGTTATTTATGATTTTCAAGCTGTCCCCACAACACAAATCCTCATGCCAGCACTATCACCCACAATGGAGGAAGGAACAATTGTGAAGTGGCTAAAAAAGGAAGGTGACAATGTCTCCCCAGGGGACGTACTTTGTGAGATTGAAACTGATAAGGCTACAATCTCCATGGATACTGAAGAGGAAGGAATTTTGGCGAAGATAATAGTCCCAGAGGGAAGCACAAATGTAAAGATAAATAAACTGATTGCACTGATGGTGGAGGAGGGTGTGGACTATACACAGGTTGAAGCTCCAATAGATACAGGTACAAGACCTTCAATTTACACCCTTTATTACAGAATTTATTTGTACTTTACTCCCCTTATGAAAATTTGTGGAACCTCTTAAGCCTCACGATTCAAGTTACAAAGAAAAATGTTGCGATTTAATGTTAGTTAAAAGTCTCTGACAGGAGACTGAAAGACTGACTTGGCTTATTGTCATAGTACTAATTAATGATTAAGTGACTTATTCATGGAGGAAAAAAAAATAAAAATAAAAGAGTTGTTTTAGTTAGGCTGCCTTTAGTTTAACCACTGAGTCTCAGATTGCATTGGTGACAATAACCCTATAGAGTTCTTAGAAAAGAGAGTCTATTGCAGTCAACCCTGACACTTGTAATGTTATTATGTTTTATTTGAAAAACAAACAAAATTGTTCTATCAAGCACTAATAGTAACCATTGGTCTTCTTAAGATGAGTCAGACAAAACAGAAGTTTCTTCAGATCAGAGCAGCAGTACTGGTCACAGTGACACCACTGTGCTGATATCACCAGCTGTTAGACTACTTCTTGAGACATATCAGCTGAACCCTGGACTCATTCCAGCCACTGGTCCTAAAGGAAGACTGCTCAAGGGTGATGTGTTGAGGTTTGTGGCTCAAGGTGGAAAGCCCTTCACAAAACCAGAAGAAGCTAAGATTCCTACGCAAGCTACCCCACCATCAGAAAATGTTCAGTTAGCTTTGTCTCGGCCAACAGCTCCACCCCAAAAAACTATAACCTCAACTCAGACAAGTGGTAGGTACACCGTATACTCTTTACCACCATTATTCTAACTGAAGCAGGGTGTGACTGTTCAAGTTTACATCCTTACTTGTCCTACTGACATCATTCTAGATTGGCTCCATCAAATATGAAATAAACAGCCAGTCTATAGCCCATTTGTTTGTTTACAATGCATTGATGGTCAATTTGTCCTCTTACAGTGAGTCAAGACTACAGGTCTCTAGGGCCTTGGATCACCATGACATATTGGATCTGTGTAAATAAGAATGTTAGAGTTCTACATATACTGTACCTGTTCCACGCAGAACACCCTAAAAGGGACCACTGTGACTAAAGATTAAAGGAGGTGCATGGGTGTGGTTGGAAAAATTAATATTTGAATTTTTGAGGGCCAGTGCAATAATAATTAGTTTTCTTTGAAGTTATCGGAGCCTATTCCTTTCTTTAGTAATACCTTATTACAGCTGTATCTATGAGTAAAATTGTAGGGGTTGGAGTTGATTTACGTCTATGAATTTTCAATCCCTGGTTTTTTAGCCTGGGTTGTTATTAATATTTTTCACTATTTTAAAACTCAGTAGATTAAGAATATTATTGCATCCTGTTTTTCAGACACAAAGCTTGTTTCACCAAAACCATCTGATGCAGTTGGCACAACAAAGTACATTGACATACCTAACACAAGTATGAGGAGTACTATTGCTAAGAGACTTGCGGAATCTAAAGCTACTGTCCCACACACTTATGCTTCTACAAACTGTGTTATGAACAATCTTATTGAACTGAGAAAAGGTCTTGAGGTGAAGGTTTCTATAAATGATTTTGTTATCAAAGCAGCAGCCTTGGCTCTGAGGCAGGTTCCAGACATGAATGCCATCTGGGATGGGAAAGAGGCTCAGTTACTTAGTGATGTAGACATCTCTGTCGCTGTGGCAACTGACTCAGGGCTTATAACACCAATTGTCAAAACAGCGGATAATCTAAAAGTTGCAGAGATTTCTTCTGTTCTCAAGGTAATAATTCAGTAATAGAAGCATGTCCATGATTTCTTGTAATTTTAGCTCTATGATTCATGCAAGGTGTCTTTAGAACTTTGCATCCCTTTTAACTGCTGTAAGTGCACTGTCTTTTAAATAGGAGTCAATCACAAAAACAGAACGTTTTCTCGACTTTATAAAGCCATAAAATTCATCTGTTAACCCTTTGGGCCCTTTCACAGACCCAAATGACAGATTTCCCTACCCTTTTGTATGGTTGTTGTTTGTTCCCTCTGCACCCATTGTACATCCCTCGAAGTACAAGCGGAGGGGTGGGGACGGGGGACTGAAAAAGGGTTATACACTTGAAATGTTTGTTTTTGCAATACCTGATATCCATCCTANAGACTTGCGGAATCTAAAGCTACTGTCCCACACACTTATGCTTCTACAAACTGTGTTATGAACAATCTTATTGAACTGAGAAAAGGTCTTGAGGTGAAGGTTTCTATAAATGATTTTGTTATCAAAGCAGCAGCCTTGGCTCTGAGGCAGGTTCCAGACATGAATGCCATCTGGGATGGGAAAGAGGCTCAGTTACTTAGTGATGTAGACATCTCTGTCGCTGTGGCAACTGACTCAGGGCTTATAACACCAATTGTCAAAACAGCGGATAATCTAAAAGTTGCAGAGATTTCTTCTGTTCTCAAGGTAATAATTCAGTAATAGAAGCATGTCCATGATTTCTTGTAATTTTAGCTCTATGATTCATGCAAGGTGTCTTTAGAACTTTGCATCCCTTTTAACTGCTGTAAGTGCACTGTCTTTTAAATAGGAGTCAATCACAAAAACAGAACGTTTTCTCGACTTTATAAAGCCATAAAATTCATCTGTTAACCCTTTGGGCCCTTTCACAGACCCAAATGACAGATTTCCCTACCCTTTTGTATGGTTGTTGTTTGTTCCCTCTGCACCCATTGTACATCCCTCGAAGTACAAGCGGAGGGGTGGGGACGGGGGACTGAAAAAGGGTTATACACTTGAAATGTTTGTTTTTGCAATACCTGATATCCATCCTATCAGTACTCAAGAGATGGAGATAGGCTGCAGCTGTCTGAGACCTTGTGGCTCAACTTTTCCTTTTTAAAAAGGATTTTGTTTCAACCCTTTACCTTTTTCTACGGGCACATTGTTCAGTGAGTTGTCAAGGGAACATTTTACTGAGAGGATGCAGTTTTCCTTGTCTGATTGACCATTTTTTCTTGCCCATACATTGTGGACCAATGTAGACTCCATGTTAGCAGGAGGCAATACATAAAACCAAATTATACATGCTTTTAAGTTGTTTCCTAAACAGATTAAGTGTGAATGTTTGTTAGAATTCCATTTGGACATTGTAAGGTTTTTTTTAGAAATTATTAATATTCCTTCCCTTCCCCCTTTGCCACCCTCTTTTCCACATGTTTGCACTCTGTGCTTCCATACCCAAGGAAACATTATTTTGCTTTCAGGCTACACTTTAATAAGCCTCTATTTTTTTGCCAGGACCTGGCGAGCCGTGCCAGAGAAGGCAAGTTAAAATTGCACGAGTTCCAAGGTGGCTCCTTCACTATTTCCAACCTTGGAATGTTTGGTATCACTGAGTTTTCTGCAGTCATTAATCCACCACAGGCTTGCATTATGGCTGTAGGTGGTACCCATCCTGTGCTCACCACAGAAGAGGAAATCCAAAGTGTGATGACCGTCACCTTGTCGTGTGATCGTAGGATGGTGGATGATGAATTAGCTGCCAGATGGCTACAAAATTTCAAAAAGAACATAGAAAATCCGTCTCGACTTCTTCTGTAAAAATGTCAATATATTTGCTATTGCGATTGAAAATCAAGGACAAAGACTATGATAATAATGTGAACAGTTATTTGAAAGATTTTAAAAGTGAGGAGCGGTCAAAATCAGACACCATCAAATAAGACTGTCAAGCTCAGGCTTTAGGATAATAAAATATTATATTTCATATTCTATTTCAAGACTATTTTTCGGTCTCTATCCTATGTTATGACTAACTATAATTTTCATTTAAAGAAAGGTCTCATGTAAAGAAACAGTATTACAAAATGGAAAAGATCACACCAACACTGATTTTAGAATAATAGTTACTAACAATCCTACGACAATAGAAATAAATGACAAAAGTGTCGTTAAACACTGTCAGTAGTTGAACGACACTTATAAGGAGACATTGGCAAAATTCTAAGAAACTGTTAGAAAGACAACTTTTCAAGATGAATCATGCATTTTGTGACTAAGGATAAAAAAAAATACAAAACTTATTTGACCCGTTAGGCATGCCACGTTGTCAAAAAGATCCTGCAACATGAAAAAAAAAAATCAAAGCACTTATTGGTTTTAAATTTTACCAGAGTTTAAATTGATTGCTTTTGTTGAGCGGTTACATCCATAGGACAACTGCGATTGACTTGAGTTAAGGTTTTATGTATTTATCTACAAGGATGTGTTAAGCCAGCCTGTGAACAGGTTTTCCAGTTCAGGATCAGGTGAGAAAATCAGGCAGAGAAACTGGAGAATTTTATTCAAAGGCTGGTATTAAGCTTGCATTTTGCTCTGGGTGAATTCTAAAAATCTGAGACCACTCAAATAGTTATCGAGTAGTAGTTTCCTAAAGTACTATTTCTCATACTGTACAACGTGGTTCTAACTTTTGAGTTAACTGTGGATGAAATCCCACTTTTCACTACTCAAGTGAAAGCTCCTGTTTAAGCTCTAGTCATGGTAGTTGTCGTTTCCCTTGCACCCCACAAGTCCTGAGACTCTACTCTGTAACAGTGGTATGGGTAACCGTCTGCGGTTCTTTAAAGGGTAATCTTTTCCAACTGCCTCCGCACACGCATGCTCTGACCCATCTCTGCTCCCAGACCTTGGATGCAGCATGGTCACTGACACCATCCACAAGGGCTACACAGTTGCACCTGTTAATAGACAACACGTGATAAACTCGTGCAACCGAAATCCCACCCTCGACAGTTGAGGCCACACCTATCCGGATATTTTTGAAAACGGAGCTTGTCCACACAAACGGCAAACGGCAAACGGCGTTTTCGGGCACCAAACTCGTAGATTTTCGAAAACTGTCTCCAGAGTGGAGTTTTTTGAAACGGAGGTGACATGGACCATACAGCGCATGCCCTGTAAGGGATGCTATTTTATTTCTGTTTTAGTGTGGACGGGCGAAAACGATTCGAATACGCTACGTGTTGACGCTATCTTTTCGAAAACGACAAATTAATCTCGTTTTCAAAAATATCCGAGGCCTNAGAGTATGAGGCAACGAGGGGAAAAGGTTGAACATAACCCTCTACCGCAGTACCATAGGGAAAAACTGCAAGAATTACGTATCCGACTCCTGAGAGTTTAACAGAAACGCCAGCAAATAAATCGTCTACTGCAGAATTTTCAGCAGTCACAGGGACGAGAGCTATTCTTCGTTCGTCCATTGCATCCACAAAACTGACATGAATTTGACGACAGATCAGTGAAATACATTTAAAGCCTTTCAAAGTGACGTTGAAATTCTCCTTGGAGACGCAGTAAATATAAACTAACTCGTTATTTTCGAAAGCAGAAGATGTGGAACTTCGACTTGTTTGGAAGTACTCCATAGCGAGCTCTCCGACTTTCACTTCGCACGAGCTGTAGAATAAGGATGACGTCACATTCGAAGTGATAATATAGGATAAAGCGAGATGCATCATGGGATACTATTCGATCGTTGTCTGGAGAAACGCTAAGATGACAAAAGCGAACTGTTGGTTTTTGCTGTATGTGTAAAACAAAACGAGAGACAAGGCCATGAACATTTTCCCCTTCAAGAGATTAGGACGAAACAATGCTTCCATCTGTGCGAAGACGAACATGGATATCGTAACGTAACCAAATTAAAATGAAACGCGCTACGCAATTTAACCCATTACCTACGGCAATGCAATTTGACATACATACATACTTGTAGAATGCCAAAGAGCAGGCCCTTTTAAGAAACACTTTTAAAAGGGGCGCCATTAAATGACTCAGGACTTTCGTTTGTATTTTTTGGCTGTTTTGTGCGTTTGATGATGGAACACTAACAAGGCTATACCTAATAACAACTTTGAGCTGGCTTTACTGATGTGAACGCAAGCCTTCGCAGTTATAGTAAATTCACGGAAGATAGAGTCGCTGTAAGTCCCGTTAACGTTTAGTCTGCATGCATTCTCGAAGCATTCGTCTCCTGTTTACTTTCCTTCTCGTCGATTGAGACGCAAGCTTACTTAAACAACTTTCTGCGCAGCTCTCGAAAGTCCATTTGTCCGACGTCGTTTGCCCTGAAATTAAGTCGATTCGCTCTGAAGACATACACACTTTACAGCACGGTGAACATTTTAGCTAACAGAGATGATGCGTTAGTTAAGCTTGAATTGGTCACAAGGTCCAGCGATCTAAACCATGCATATTAGCGTCAAAGATAATCACATCTGAGATAGTAAACTCAAGTCTTCTGACATGCGTACCTCAGCTATCACAATGATCGCTAAAGTTCCAACGACTGAGCCTAAACATACCTAGTACACTGTTTTAGCTTAGTCTCTGGTGATTTATCCAAAAAGATCCTCCTCACCACATCTATTGTATGTGAGCCATCAGCAGCTATTGGGAAAATGGCGGAGGCAAATGGGTGGAAGATCTGATTAGATGTGCACCACACTGGCTGGGTACCAAACTGATACAGCGCAGGTTTGATTTGTCCACTTACTGCTTTACCAGACACACCTGAAATCAAATTACACACTCAGATGAAAATTTGTCTTAAATTAAAATTAACCACCGATGATTTGTCACAGAATGACCTCAGAAGACGTTATTTCCGAAATATCAATTTTTCCTTTTTTTTACATACTAAGAAAACTACTGGTCACAAACTAGAAGGAAATTTTTAATTTGAAGCCGCAGATAGAAGGATTGGGACTTCGTTCCAACAAATCAATGAAAGCGAGAGACAAGTTTTCACTTTGAAATATACAGGTCGAGCGGTTGTCAATACAGTCATATCTTTTTAACAGTATACCATTTTTTTTTTCAGTTAGACTTGCAAGAAAACTCTAGATTGCTGGCGGCTCCCTCCATTTATTATTGTGTTGTTTTGCCTCTTCATACTTCAATATAACAGAAATATTTTCTATTCGGCTGAGCGCAGCGATAGAGAATAGACTATATCTTTTTGACAGTATACCAGTTTTGCTGTTTGCTACGAATCATGAGAGTGTTGTTGTTGTTGTTATTATTATTATTATTATTATTATTATTATTATTATTGCTGTTGTTGTTGTTATGATGTATTTCTTTTTTTTTAAAGGTATTACCTCTATTCAAATTTGGTATTTGCATATTCTGAAGAAACGGTGAGTTAGGGATAAGAGGAGCAGCTTCAGCTATAAAAGACAAATGGAGATAAAAAAGTGAATAAAATGACACATTTGTATGGAAAACAGCACCAATAAAAACAACTCAATACTGTAAGTGTAACGCACAGATGATGACTTCTAATTAAGTTAAACATGAATTAAGTAAACCTGTGTTTAGCTAGCTGTCTGCGACCTCTTCTTAGCGTTCGGTAAATATATTTTCGGAGTTCCCCCCGCTTTATACTCGCAATCGCATTTACACCAGCTTCTCTTTCAACTCCCGCGCGAGGAGAACAATTTTCACGCGCGCTCTCGTATTTCGCTCGCTCAAATACACTATGCCTATGGAACAAAGCGGAATTCTCGTGGTCTGACACAGTTGAAATCATCTTCACCACAAGTTTAGGCGACTGACAACATACCTGCCAACCTGTCCTCAACAACAGTATCTTGTTCATCTGTGCTTGCTTGTCTGCTCAGAAGCCAGATTTTTGTGAAGATCTTGAATAACAAGGCCAGCGACTCGTTCTTGTCTGAAACATAGTATATAAAGGACCTAAGCATTTGGCAATCGCTAGTATGAAAACACCAAGGACGTTAGTTCTTGCCATGTTTATGTCGCACTTTTGACCAGTGTGAAAGGGTTAAGCACAAAAATAAGGTCGACAACTAATCCGTGCACTACTGTGACAGACTTAAGGAAGAGCTCTTTTCCAAAGTAAACACCCTCATAATGTGTCAGTCAAAAATTAAGTAAAAAAGCGCCGAGCCAAAGCGTGAACATATACGCCTATTTGTACTTGCGTCATTTTGTCTTTTATTGTCGGCTTGAACCAGCATTCATTTTATGTTGCCAAACAAAACAAGACCTATTACCCAGTTAAATTTAGGCTGCTCGCAGCTTCTCCCCTCTATCTCTCAAAGACAACCTAAGAAACGTCGTTCCTTCCTATCTCCTAACACAGGCGTCTAGTTTGCGTTTTCGTGCTGAGGAAGGTCTAGTTAAATTGGGCAACGGCAAACTAAAAACTTAATTAAAACAAAGAAGAAAATAGACAAGTAGACAGACCGAAAACAAAACTGACCTGCTGATGGAGTGATTGTAGGGAGTATATTTGGAGTACTTTGACCCCAAATACGAATGAGAATAAGCATTTCACGTAACGTGCTCAAAGTGCTTGTGTCACGAACCAGGCTAACCTAAAACGGTCACAAACCACATTGCCAGTTAAACCAAGTGAAAGAGCGCTTACACCACATATCATCAGTATTAAATTGCCCGCATGCAGAGAGTACTTGCCGCAAATCGGGTTAATCAGACATATCAAGTAAAAGAACCTTTCCGCCGGACAGTAAGGAAAGCTGTAGCGCCTGGAAAGATCGTACAAGTTTGTCTTCCAACATAGTGTCGACACCAAACTAACAAAAACAGTTCCATTTTTTTTTTCAACATGCATCCACGTCATTACCGTCGATTTTTCGTGTAATTGAAAGTAACTTAACAGTACCTCCCACAAGTAGCTTTTCAACTAGACCTGCAAGCAAACTCTCTACTAAGGGATTGGAAAAGGCGGGGGAGGAGGAGGAGGAGGAAAGCTCCCTTCTCCCACCTCCAAGCCAACAGCTGGAGGCTTTATCACAGACTTGATTTTCCTTAAAAGGTCTTCGCCCTTAATCCATTAGCGAAATGAAAAAAGGTATATGCTCACCTAAACTGCGATCATGCCCTCCTTATACAGTTGACATCCGCTTGATATGGAGAGTCTGCTTTGTTCCCGGCCCTTACATTTTCTCTAAATTCAACACACTAAATTCCACGCCAGTTAAACGAACACTTTCTATGCCCCCCGGGGTCCGTATCAACTGGGCCTGACTGCATCTCTATTATGTCTTCCGTGACGCCTAATCGCTGTTTAACGCCCACCCCGTACATCAAACCCCATTACAGAATACTTCTATTTCGAGAAAGGTTGTCAGAAAAAGTGCACGCGACAATCCCGAAAGGTGTCGTGAGTGGTTTTGGGTTCTCTGTTCTTCAAAGAAATTTAAAAGAATGGCACGAGAAGCCACGGACTGATGTTTGCGAGTGCTAAAGGAATGCAACAAAAGTAGGCTCGACAGCTACAATGTCAGGAAGTGTGTTGATCATATCGCATATTATCTGTCGGGATTGTCGCGTGCACATTTTTTCCGGCAACCTTTCTCGAAATATCTTGTCACTCTACTCACCCCTGCGGATTCCTTGTTATGATGGTTTGTAAATGTAACGACCACAAACATGGCAAGGTCAGTGAGCCATTGTATGAGAGGAAACATGGACAACACAGTTGCTTAAAGAACAAAATTCAGTAAGACGTTTGAGTGTTTATGCCACTCTATTTTCTCAACGCAATGCAACTAAGACAGTAAAGTGAGAAACGGCGAGCTAAAATACTACTGAGAAAACTAAGAGATGGCTGTCCATTAACCCTTTAAGCCCTAATATCCACATACAAATTCTCCTAACTGATCTCTATACATTTCTATATAGAAAAGTTGAGAGAGTTTGATAAAAGATCAAAGCATTTTCCCTCAGGTGATTATTTTGTTAATTCTCACAACCTTTTTTTTTTGGGTTCTTAAGACTTCGCCAAAAATTATTGGTTACTTCTACCTTTGTCACAAAGTGTCCAGTTTGAAAATCTGCTACCACAGGTAGCCCAAGCTCGAAATATGAGCATCGGCGAGCATCGGCTTGTTGCGTAACATTCAAAATATAAGGATTTGTATGGGAAAAAAACCTATCGTTTCTGTAACCCACGAAAATCGTAGGTTACAGAAACGATAGGTTTTTTTCCCATACACATCCTTATATTTTGAATGTTACGCATCAATGCCGATGCTCGCCGATGCTCATATTTCGAGCTTGGGCTACCTGTGCTGCTACCGCAAAAAATTTGGATCAATTCAGTTTTCCTGGAAACTGCCCACCTTCCCCTCCCCTAAGCCATCACTTTGCCCTAAGTGAGAAGTACGTGTTAATGTCAGCTTAGGGGAGGAGTAGGTGGGCAGTTCCCCCCCCCCCCCCCCCCCATGAAATATCTTTATGTGGCAAATTTGTCTTGCCACATAAAGTCGACACCAAACTACCAAAAACAGTTACAATTTTTTTTCAACATGCATCCATGCCATTACTGTCGATTTTTGGTGTAATTGAAAGTAACTTAACAGTACCTTCCATAAGTAGCTTTTCAACTAGACCTGCAAGCAATTTTCTCTAAATCCAACCCACTAAATTCAACCCCGGTCATACGAACACTTTTTATGCCCCCGGTGTCCGTATCAACTGGGTTTGACTGCATCTCTATTATGTCTTCCGTGACGCCTAATCGCAGGTTAACGCCGGTCCACCCCGTACATCAAACCCCATTACAGAATACTGCCATATCGAGAAAGGTTGTCAGAAAAAGTGCGCGCGACAATCCCGAAAGCTAATGTGGGTAGTTTTGAGTTCACTGTTCTTCAAAGAAACTTGAAAGAATGGCACGAGAGGCCATGGACTTATGTTTGCGAGTGCTAAAGGAATGTAACAAAAGTAGGCTCGACAGCTACAGTGTCGGGAAGTGTGTTGGTCATATCCCATATTACCTTTCGGGATTGTCGCGTGCACATTTTTTCCGACGACCTTTCTCGAAATATCTTGTCACTCTACTCACCCCTGCGGATTCCTTGTTATGATGGTTTGTAAATGTAACGACCACAAACATGGCAAGGTCAGTGAGCCATTGTATGAGAGGGAACATGGACAACACAGTTGCTTAAAGAACAAAATTCAGTAAGACGTTTGAGTGTTTATGCTACTCTATTTTCTCAACGCAATGCAAGTTACGACAGTAAAGTGAGAAACGACGAGCTAAAATACGACTGAGAAAACTGAGAGATGGCTGTCCATTAACCCTCTAAGCCCTAATATCCACATACAAATTCTCCTAACTGATCTCTATACATTTCTATATAGAAAAGTTGAGAGAGTTTGATAAAAGATCAAAGCATTGTTAATTCTCACAACCTATTTTCTTGATTGGGTATTGATATTGTTAAGGAGAAAATTGATGTTTGTCACTCTCGGGACTTAAAGGGTTCTAAGACTTCGCCAAAAATTATTGGTTACTTCTATTATTGTTACAAAGTGCAGATTGAAAATCTGCTACCGCAAAAAATTTAGGCTTCTGGGAAACTGCCCACCTACCCCTCCCCTAAGCCATCATTTTGACCTAAGTGAGAAGTACGTGTTATTAGGGAGCTTAAGCAACAGCGTTTTTGAGCGACGGACGTCAACCGGAAGTGGACTTTTTATATCACTGGGCACTGGTTTGTGTGAAACACTCGGGTAAATCGTCTTTTTAAGAGAAAAGAAACTTAGCAATACAGATTTGTTAGCGTCAAGGCATATAAAAAGGAAGAAAGGCTTACTTCCGGTTGACGTGCGTCGCTCAAAAACGTCTTTTCTTAAGCTCGCTAATGTCATCTTAGGGGAGGGGTAGGTGGGCAGTTTCCCAGCAGGTAATATGAGAAGGGGATGCCCATATCACCTCTCAAAATGTTTCGCCGAATCTTACTATATCAGGAAATCAACAGGTCGGTACTCAATTCTAAACAACAGACCCCTACTTTACATATTATTTTCCCAACCATACTGAAGAGTATTTTAATTTACTTAGTCTCTGTGGCTTACTGTTTTCTAGAGCTAATTCCCGTGTATCCAAAACTTGAATGACCTTGTCTACTTCCACATCCTGATTCGCTGACATCTCTTTAAAAAATTGAACAAAGAAAAGATTAACTTTAACTTAGGGAGCAAGCAAGAATGGCGCAGTGGTGAGATCATGAACTCGCCTAACACCACGGTGGCCCGGGTTAAAATCCATACCAGCCATATCTGGTTTGACTTCGTTGTTGGTTCTCTACTTCGCTCCTAGAGCTTTTCCTCCGGGTGCTGGAGTGTTCCTATCTCCTAAAAACCCAACATTTTCAAATTTCAATTCGACCAGGAATGACAGACGAAGAACCACTACGTGGATGTGCTACCTCTAAATCCTTATTTATTTATTCATTTATTTATTTATTTATTTATTTATTTATTAAACTAACTAAATTCGGGTTGATTAAGACAAGTCCTGTGCATGCCGGTGCTAGCTTTCACCAGAAAACGAGAAAGGTATTAAATCGCAAATCAAATTCATCTAGCAGAAAGTAAGTACGTCACTCCTTTTCTAAGTGTGGATCAGGAGTGTTGGGCCTACTTTTACTGTATGGTCAGATGTGAATTTGGGGGACAGAGATTTCGTGTCTGAGCCCCTGTGCAAAACGTTGTCAAAGTTTATGGTTGTGGATTTTCATTCTTGGCAGGTTGCAAGTAAGTCTACATCTCTTAAAAATCCAAATAACCTATTCCAGGCTCTCGGATAGTGGGGGCGTTTTCACGATTTCTGACTTCAGTATCTTGGAACCTGAAACAGGCTACAATCCACACAGACACTCAGCCATTCAAACAGCACTTGCCTTTAGAGAGCCGGGAAGTCACGTCATTCAATATGTCAGCAAAAGGAAAACTTACTAGCAAACTGGTCAGCGGCGCCGTGTGATGATCTAAGCAGGGACCTAAAGGTCGTTGCTATGGCAACAAGAAGCTGTCGAACATAACAGTCAACCGCCTGTCCTGCACCGTCTTTCATACACTTGTGGAGACTGGCCTTGATGGCTCTGAACCGGGAACAATGAATCTGCTGTTGAGCGATTTCCTGGATGCTGAATTCATCTGTTAGTTGTCTTGAAACCGCATCTAGTGTTTCTAAGTAATGCAACAACAGATTGCGTGACGTGAATAAAAGAATAAATCATAAACCGTAAACCGCCGCCGCTTATCAGCGGCTTATAAAGGGTTTTAGAAGGGCTTATAAACGGAGAGGTTTGACCACAGACGTATTTCCGGTCGTCGCTTCTCTCCCTCCGAAAATTATTCTTCGGAGGGAGAAAAGCGACCACCGGAAATACGTCTTCGGTCGCAGCCTATCCTCCTCTTTCTAAGGCCAATATTAACGCGCGGACCCCGAGGGTTGTGAAATTATTTTACAGAAAGTACGATTGGAAAGTGGAACACTGACAAGATTTTCAAAGTTTCATGCTTTTGTGCGTTTTTCTCTGGCTTGCCTCACTGAAACAAGCTGGTTTGTAAATGATTCGGGTTTGAAAAGATTTCTTTCCCATACTACAGACAAAGTGTAGCTGCAAGCAAGCAACCATACAGAAATGAATCTCAATCTCGATGTCGAATTAAAAGAGAGAGAGATTGAGATTGATTTTCAACTTTAGACACATCGTAGAGTCAGTTATATGTTCAGATACCCGGACTGTGGTATCAAGTGATTTTCGCATAAATTCTTTGCGCTCTGAGGGCCTGTTTATATGGAGGTGGGGCACCCATGCAAACAGGCCCTAAAACTTCTAACAGTGAGGTATGGAGCACTTAAAAGCGTAAAGGTGCGATTTGGCCACACAAAAGAGAAACAGTAGAGAGATTCAGCTATTGTTAGTGTTACCCGCGTACTCCACGATGAAGAGTACTGCTGCGCGTTCGTGGTAACCAATGATATGGTGGGGGCCCACAGGGCTGCCGACTGCGGGCAGGAGTTTTTAAGACAGGGCTGTATAGTGACTTCCACCGTTATGAATAAAAATAGGCCAGTTGGGGATATAAAAAGCCCACAAACTTTCTTCGACTGTAAGTTAATGTCACGAGATCAATAGCCATTTCTCCCGATGTCTGCTTTACTCAAGAAAGCGATAACAAAATCTGTAACCTGTTGGTGTTCCAAGGTGTGCCGCCATAAGTACATCCCACCACTCCCATCCCGTCAGAAGACAGTATTGCAGCAAGTCTGTCAGGCTGCGCTTGAGTCGCATCCCACCGTGAAATTCACTGTCTGTTGACAAATGTGATCACAGTTATTAAAAAATGACAGCCCGCGCATGTAGTAGGCGCTAGGAAGTAATATGCGGGAAAGAACGGGCCGCGCGATGACGTCGGAGATATGTATGTCTCCCTCAACCACCTCGTTGTTTCTTGCACCCATTACTTCCAAGCGCCTGCTAGGCTAACGCTCTGAAGCAGGAACGTTACATGTAGATTTGGCTGATGTATGTCTTATCCAGGCAAAATCGGCGCGTCAGACGCTTCCTTGAACTCCGCAACGGAAGTATTCGTGGATTACTACATCCTCACACCCATTATAAAATACCATTGTCTCTTACAAAAAAATCAATAATTAATTAATTAATTGAGTTATATGAAATAAAATGAAAAGATCAAATGCGCGTTTTGATGTGCAGAAAATCAATCACATAGTGCGAATACTATTAAAACGTTAAAAAGCACGAAATTGCAAAAAGTTATGCAGTAGGTGAACAATGCTTTCTTCTTACGTGTTCGTGTACTGTTGCTCACTCTTATGGCATATTCGATTGGTCGCATCAACTGTAGAACAGGAATACACTTCGATCTAGATTTTTCTACGCCGGTTAGTATCTCTCCTCAATTAATTGGGGATATGAACTAACAAACCTGCCTCCAATCAGGTCTCCTCAGTACCATCAACGTCCTTTAAATTCTCGAATCTGTGAAGTTCAAAATGATTGCAGCAATGTACCTAACTAAACAACCTCCCGTCCCCCTCCAGAATCATCAGATAGAGATCACTACAATTTACTGAGACTCAATTAATTAACACTTACCTTTGCCTGCCAGGTGATGCAGTTTGAACATGCGCACATCTCCGGTCATGGTAATTCCCATAAGGCAGCAACAACAAGGGGAATAACTGATGGCACCGAGGCATCCTGAGCTGTAGCTTGGTCCTAACGTGCGGGCTTTCTTGGCTGGGATACCTGTGGAAGGTTTAATTAGTTATTGACGGTTTGGAGCATGAAATATAGTTAACAGACCAACTATTAAAAAATTCTTATCGGTGGAAGAAGGTGACTGAGTGAAAAGGTAGCGGAGAGTTGAACAGATTGAGGCCCCGTCTACACGAAACCGATGTTTTTGAATCCGCAACTTTTTCTTTCTGGATTCAAAAATTTCTACGTCCACACGTATCCGTATTCAACTCGAATTCGCCCGTCCAGGGGTATCCGAAAGGTATTCGGATTCACTCTTGTACCCAGAATTCCTTTGGAAAAATTGGCAACGGAGCATGCATCTTGCTCTTCCTTGAGAGAACTTGGGACCGAGGTTGCCATCTTGAATACAGTATTCACGGTAAAAAACTGGGCCCAGTTGTTTGAAGGCCGATTAGCGCTGACCCTAACCTGAGAACAGGCCCAATTTGAGCGGTTCTCATACATTCTCTCTAACTGCTACCGCTGAAAAAGCGAAACGAAAATAGAGCCTGATCTCAGGTTACGCTAACCCAGGGTTAAATTTTAACCTGCGTTTCTTTTTCTTTGTTCAAAAGCATTTTCCCGGATGATTTTCTCGATTCTTTTTACAGCATCAAATCATCAAGTTGTAGACAAAAAGGATAAAACTGAATTTGCTTTTTAAGCTTTCATACCTGAACTGAAATTTTGCACTAACCCTGGGTTAACCCTGCTTTGAACAACCCGGCCCTAGGCTCGATCTTAATTGTTACGTCACTGGAAAAAAACATCCGGATTTACTGTCCACATGATTCCGGATTTATAGCGTATTCCAAAATTTCCACTCTGGAGAGCCGATTAAAAAAGTTGCGGATTCGTATGCCGGATTCACCGAATACGTGTGGACGGAAGCCGTATCCGAAAATGGAATTTCCGGCGTTTGAGTGGATACGAATTAGCCGGAAATGAAATATTTCTGCGGCACGGGAACAGTGGGGACTGGGGCAGTTGAAGTGCAGTATGGGTAGAATGAAGCGCTATAAAAAGGATGCTTATCCTGTGGGAAAGCATCCTCGGCCGACACCTCGTCTAGCTCATGTTATTTTTTATTTATTTATTTATTTTAGTATATATTTGATTTACTAGTTGCAGTTCGATTTTTCCAGGGGTTTCTTAGCTTGTTTGCGTTTCCTTAAATTATTTAGAGTTTGCCGTCCTTTGTTGGAATACTTGTTTTGTAAATAAGGGCAAAGTCCTTCCAGCCGTGTAGCCTTCGTAGGATGGGCTCTTCAGAGCATGAGCCATGGATCCTACCCAGATTTCCTGCCGAGTTTTTTTCCTTGTTGAGGTTTTTTTCCGGCAGGTTTTTTCTGGCCTCTGTTCTGACAGTATTCTGTGTAAACAGCTCTGTTCTAGTGTATTCAGCTCTGTTCTAGTTCTTACACCACATATTTGAATGTAATAGAAGTTGTTGTATAATGTATTGTTATATCTGCGGAGGTCGGCGGAACAGCCAAAATAAACCTAATGGTTTTTCTATTCATGTTGTACTGCGTAGTGTAGCCGAAATAGAAAAAGTTGCGGATTCAGTAATATCGGTCGGGGCCTGAAAGCGTTCCACGAAGTGGGTGCGTATAGATTAACATATGATCTGTACCTATATATGTAGTACCATCACTAATACCTACCCAAGTCAGCGTCAGAACTTTGAGGTTTTGTGCGAAATGAACCAATCAGTTTCAGGCCAACACTGAAAGGTAGAAAGCATCAACAGTTTAGTAACAAACTCTCTTTCCCTCATCCGTGTGATGAGCAGGAACGTCAAGTGTGATCGTTTTACAGGCTGCTTGCTTTGTTCTTTGAAAAAAGGAAATGCAAAATGAAATTTTAAGTGATAGACAGATAAACAGCTTTTTTTTACAGTGATAGGTTTTTTAAGGCATGAATTAACAAAAACTAATGCCTTCGCTGTTATATATTATTCACCTTCACTCAAAGTCAGATTGCAGTAACGCTCTTACACTATCTCAAACTAATTCAGCCTAAGGCAAGTACATGTAAATTTAGCAAATGAATTGTGATAAAAGGTATCTTAGGCAGCGTTCAACCGGTGCCACTCTAGAATGATAAAATGGAGGGCTCCAACTCATTTATCAGGGCTCTGGAGCCACTTGGCTGTTATGCATGCATCAACCTGATTACTGTATGGCAATCAGGATTGCAGATGCTTTAAAATTTAATTCTGCCTGATGACTGACGAGCTTGAACAAGCTTTCATTTTATTCACTACACAGCACAACCAGTCAGATATTGCCATTAAAGTGTTCTCTTAAACCAGGGGATGATTAGAAAAAACGTTTTTGACTATTCCAGTGACTAAAGTGTACGACTTAAAATCTTATCTTATACCTACTGCAGTTACTGACTGTAAAATTAAACTAAAACACTACCTGGTCAACATTTGAAGCTTATCATCGTCATATTGAACCAGCAAGATTGATGCAGGGTATGTTAAGACGTTACTGATGGGTGAGAAATCTATTTTAGGCGTTGGTAACCGCGGGAGGCACAGTGATACGATATTGGCAGGATCTTTATACGTGTTAATGATGGTCCATTCCTGGAATGAGATACGGTACAAATACAGAAAGATCATGAGAATTATATTATTACATAACATAAGGCTGCCTGCAAACGGATGCAACATTGTTGATCAACAATTCCCAACATTGTTGGATGTTACATCTTGCGTCCGTTTGCACACCCTGATGCATGTTGTTGGATGTTGTTGCCTGTTGTTGTTGCGCAAAGTTTGAAACCGGTAAAACTTTTCAGGCAATAGCTCCCAACCTTTCTTTTGTTCCGTGATCGCCGAAGCGTAGCGCAACAATGTTGGATCCGTTTGCACAGCTCTTCCAACATTGTTGGGGCCACGCACGCTCATTACGCATGGTTTACAAAGACTTATGGGTTGTACCCTTCCCACGATGCACTGCAGGTCCCAACATTGTTGGGAGTTGTTGCATCCGTTTGCAGACCACTGCCAACACTCACGCAACGACTTCCAACATTGTTGGCGCAACAATGTTGGGAGTTGTTGCGTCCGTTTGCACGCAGCCTAATGTTACAAAATATATTCTTTCGAAATTCAAACACCCTTTTGCGCAGGGAGTGATGGGAAGGAGGAATAGGAAGGCAACTAGGGACAAGTCACTGAAGTTAACATGACGATCATTTATTATAACATATTCTTTGAACAACTTCTTCCCAAAGATGCATGGGCGGAAGAACACCTTTTCTTCTCTGGCGTAAGACAGGCAGCCGAGAGCAAATTTAGTAAGGAAAAAACCTGTCCCCCGAACAGCCTCATTGGTCACAAGTAAATATGATTGTTGCTGCATTTACTTACATATACTGGTACACTGTAGTTCGGCATGCTCGGATGTAAATGACCAGCGGTTTTCTGTTGGAATCTCTCATGTATCTGTTTTTCACTTTTCTTCATTTCCCACCGTTTCACGCAACTCCCACTTTTTCCTAATGATGAAAAAACAAATCAAGAAAGAAAAAGTGAGGATGATGACGAACCCTTTTTTCCAGTTACCACTGATTTGAAACATAATGTATGCAGCCATTATCATGGTTGTCACTCATCAGAAAGTTAAAAATTCCCTGACTTTTTACTGACCTTTAAACAGTTTTCACGACCTTTATTAATGAGAAACAATCAATGTTTACATTCGCTTTAGCTTTTTTGCAGGCTATCGATATTTTTGTCTTCATTTTCAACCATTTCAGCTTTTCGTGGAAAGAGGAAGAAGAAATTTGGAAGAAAGCAATCACAACGAAAACCACTGACCACAACTACTACATGTGTTAGGCGTAGAGTGTCAAATCGATTGCTCTGCTTGCTTTGCAGCATACTTTTCATCTTTTCCGAAAGAAAATGCATTTCAAAATTTTGAAAAAAAACTTATGAACTCTAAACCGGAAAACAGAATTTCCTGACTTTTCACTGACTTTGACAATATCAAAGATTTTAACCGGATTTTTAAATCATTCCCTGACTTTTCCCTGACCTTGAAAAATTTTTGTTTTTTCCCTGACTTTTCCCTGACCGTGGCAACCCTGATTATGTTTGTTTGACTGCATACAAGCATAATGCGGCTGGGGCTATTCATCTAGCGCCAGATGTTTGTACGTTGAATAATGCTGTTGATAAATCTCTCTCCAGTGGATAGGACAATTGATTATCCAAACTAAATACTTATCTGCTAGATAGTGATTTATCCCGTGGATAGCACTATGAATTTTATGCCCAATCGGTTTATCAAGACTCAATAAAACTTTTGGTGTGTTCAGATTATTTGTTCCTGTTGTCACCACAAACCACTGAAAAGGTCAAGAAAGCTGATACCCTTCGAAGGCCCTATTCCCGTTACACGTTGAATTACGTTGGTAATCCCTATAATAAAAGCAAGCTATAAAGTTATTCATAACAAAATGACGAAAAGCTAAAGTATCTAAGTTTTAGAATGGCTACGTTTACATTTCAGAAGATTTTAAGGGAACCGCTTTGCCCGTTACACGTAAATGCATGAATTCTAAATAAAGTCATTCCGGTTTGGGTCGCGCGTCAAGAGACTTTGAATCTGGAAACTAAAGTGAATGCATATCACACTCACCAAAGGTGCAAACTAAGACTCCTTCTCCAGAGTTCTTGGATAAAAACTGGATGTTACTCACACGGTATTCTGCAACTGAAAAGAGAAGGAACTAACTGAAAAATCACATTCCTCTTTAAAAATATCACCCATTAACATAGCGAAGCTGACAGAAGATGACTAAACCATAAACAGCTAAAAGTGGGCAAATATAGTTATTCGAAAACATTGCGCGCTGTGATTCTAAAACGTGTACACTGACTCATTACTGTGAAGCGTACTACAACTTCCATAAGACAATGTTATTCACTTGAAATGTTTATATCAGCTGCATGAAACTCTCGTTGAAAGTTGGACCAGAGAGCTGTCCGGTTGAAAAAGAGAGACCTTAAGATTCGAGGACGACGGCAACCGCCAGGAAGAAATTTGACTTTAAGTGTTTTGTCGTGTATTTAAAAAAAAAATAGACATCCCAGGGACAGTCATTTTACTTTTTTTCTCAAGAAAAGTGAGCACGGTTATTTTTATTGGAGGAGATTAAGACCTCCCATGAATGCATAATGATAAAACTTGTAACATTTGATAACTCATTTTTCCGCCACTACAACCCCTGGTAGAAAGACCACTGATATGGCGTTTTCCCTCCAACATGGCGCCGGTTCACGCGCGTGCTCTACTTAAAAGCTGGACCTCGTAGCCTTCCTCGTCTTAGAATGTAAAGTTCTCCAATAAATAAGTAAATAAATAACGACTTTTACTAGGACTAGAAATGCAGGTCAGAAAACGAAATCCCATTCTAGTGCAATTTAAAACAAAAAGGGTAAAGAAATTTTAACTGTCTTTAAAAGGAAAATAAATTACTTACAGTCTTGCTCACTGTGAGAATGAGGAAACAAACAGGGAAGAGGATCAGAGGTGATCTGGCAGCCATCTGAAAAAACCAACATTGTGTTATACAACGCTATGAACAGTCTTCACTATGTAGATTTGCTCCAGGAAAATACTCTGCATACCACGCTTTATCAACCTCTACTAATCTTTACTACCGTGTAAATCCTCTATTCAGCCCCCCTCTCTAATAAGCCCCCCCCTTTTTTTCGGGGGAAGAAAGTTATTAAGCCCCCCTCTCTTTAAGTCCACCTCCCTTCCGTCCTTATTCTTCACCACCAAATTATTAAAAGCTAGAATAATCCGGTATGGTTTATTCATGCGCTGTTAGTTTGGATTTGTTTTGATCTTCGGCTGTAATACCCCCAACGTCATGTTCGTCATGCTTTTCCACTTTGCACCCTAGTTCTTTATGGAGAATTGATACCATCTTCTGGTTGGTTTAAAATCAGTAGAGCGCCCCGTATCGGTAAGTGTACTTTAATTTGGTGATACGGGGCGCTCTACGGCCCTTTTAACCAATGAAATCCCCTCTCAAATAAACCCCCCTTTCTATTAAGCCCCTTCCCCCTTCAACGTGCTTGAAATAAAAAAGCCTTCCCGAAGGGGTTCATAGGGAATTTACGGTATTCGATTTCAAGTCTCACAGCCCACCTAGATTAACTTTAGCTATTTTGTGGGCTAGTGACGTTTCGTGCAATTAATTTTTATTTATGAATCGAAACTTAAAACTTGAACTACAAAAGGATTTCTTGTTTTCAGCCCTTCCCTCATCCTTTTAAAAAAACACACTACCATCAGACTGTTCTTTACGGGGTGCTTGCAAGCTTTCGAATGTGGGGATTAGAACTAACCTTATTAAGAGGGGGCGACACTTGACTTTTTCAAGAACTGATAAACATCTGGCCCCAACTAACTGGAGACACTTTGAAGATCGAATTTCAGTATGGACATGTTGGTTTTGAGGAGTGACAAAAACTGGAGTTCTCGTGGAAATGTCTTCTTGGAGCAGAGAAAGGGGGAGCAAGCTGGGGTAGGGGTAGAAAAGAGTGTCGCACCCTTTTTCTTCGCAACCCACCCGCACCTCTTGATTTGCAGGGTATTGTACAGTGTAGCTTTAACGAAGTTTTAGACTTCCCCTCCTTACTTAATACTTAATATGGTGTTGACATAACAGTTGATTTTGGTAACTTTTAAATACCTGGACCACCAGATAAAGAAACTCTGTAGAACTGTACCGCACTGCATAATTCACCATCGTTTGCAACCACAATCACTTTGCCCTCTAAAAGAAGATTTTTACCAAAAAAGTTACTTTAACACTCTTTAAATTAAGTATATGCTGGCAAAGTCTCGTTTTCTACCATACATTTTTAGGCAAGAAAAGGGTAATAAAATTAAAGCCAGAAAATTAACAGAAAAGAAATACAGTAAGACGAGAAATCTGATTCTGATTCTGGCCTCCTCACTATCATCTTATTATAGATTAGAGCAGAAAAGTTCTAACTCAGATAAAATTACTTTGGGGTTCATTGCTTAAATGTTTGATCATGAAATTAAGTTTTTAAAATCGCCCAAGGCAACAACACATGTATGTTACACTCTATTGCCAAGGCTGTATCAGAGCTCCAAAAAAAAGTTTAAATCCAGTGTGTCCCTTACACAAGTATCTCTCACATTTTTGTTTTGCCATGGAGGGTCACTGCATACTTGCCTTACACATAAGTGTACCTAATGATTTAGTTACCAGATGACTTGCCTGGGGCCTCTTTCTTGAAAGGCCAAGTAACTTTTTGGGCCCAAACTGAAAGGCAAATTTAAAACCAAAACTTGTTCATTAGAAGCACAGTTCCTAGCTCAGAAACTGGTCAATTTTGCTTCTTTAACTGATAGTTTCATTGTATCATTTTCAAAATAATTGACAGTTTGATTTTGAATGCAAACACGGCAAAATTGAAGCCGCTTTTAGGGCCCGAAAAGTTACCAGCAAGAAACAGGCGCATGGCCCTTGTCTATTGGACAAGTGAGGTTAGAAATAATTATTATGCCCAAAATGACAATCTACTGGTCCAGGACAAGGGGACAGGACATTCTTTAAGCCCTGAGTATCCTGAAAAATAGTCAATGTACAGTGTATACAGTACTAATATTCAGCATACAGGTAATCACGTGGCTTAGGGTAAAGACTTAAAACAGAATCCATCAGGAAATTGAGGAATTTTAATTATTAGTGGACAAAAACCTTGTACCAGAACAGTTTAATACTGCATTCTTTTAATAACACCAACGACTACTTCTCATGGGAGCCCAAAAAAATATCTGTCAAATTTCACAAGAATTGTGAAAACATGGGTAAAATTCTAAAAATGTTATGTGTAAGATGTCATTTTGTGAAATTTGGCATTCATTTTGTCGGGCTCTCATAATAAATTTTCTTTGGTGTTATTACATCTATAACCCTTGAAAAGTGTAAAAGAAGAATGCAATAATTTTCAATTATTCTGGTACAAGGTTTTTGTCCACTGAAAATTGAACTTACTCAATTTCCTGATGAACTCTGTCTTTATATCACTCAGACTGCTGACATCTGGCATTAAAGAGTTTGAATGGGCTGGAAGCAAAGCATCAGTTATTATGACTGATGCTAAGATTTATGCGACTTAACCCTGTACTGTAAACAAGGTGTACATTCAATAAAGTATGATATTATAATCAAGGGGTATAGGAGATAAAAGCTAAACAAAATTAAAGTGGTAACCAGTGTCTGATCTAGAGCATGCCATTGCGGATTGCCACAGTTTGAGCAAAGATGTCTCCTTCAAAAAACCTGTTCTGGGTCATTTTGGCGCACTTCAAATTGTCATTCAAAAGACAAAGACACAAGGAAATGTTATTTGTCCTTGTGCAAAGTCGTTTTCAAACAATATTTTGGTGTAAATTTTAGAAGATTAAAAGTAAAGCAAGAACCAAAATTCAGAGAATATGACATTTGTTGGTAACATATTCACCCAGTACATAAAAATAAAAAAAATAAGTGACCTCCCCAAAAACAAAATGTTCCACTGAATATCGTTGACTGGGACACATTGGCCCCCCTAGCTGGAAATCCTAGATCAGACACTGGGTAACTGGAGGATCTAGAGGAACATTTCAGGTCAGGATCTTTAACTTACTGTTGGTAAATGCAAGGTCAGCTACAGCAACTCGTGCCCGCACCTGTGCCAAGCACTTTCTTGTGATTTGTACCTCAGGTTTCGTGGTTGTAACACAAATCTGAAAAATCATAAAGTTAGCAGAGCTTTAGTTTTCTGGTCTATTTTTTTTTTTTTTTGCTTTGTGTACAATATACACGACTAAAACTGCTGACAAGCTGTTAATTTTCACCAAAAGAATTGGAAACCAACCTTAGTTGTCATCTTGCAAACAAAGTTTTGAACTACCTTTGTATTTTCTTTTGACTTCAATTCAAGCCTTTTTTTTATCACAGCTGGAGATTTGAGCGCATTTTTTGATCGTTGAAGCCTACAGGTGTTCCAATTTTTCATCTCTATTTTGTCCTTAATTTAGTGGTTTTCACAGGGCAAGAAAAAACCCAGGCTTGATTGCCTGTGGCAAGTAAATTTTGATCATGGGCAAGTAAAAATTGAAGTTTGGAGGCCCAGTGGGCAAGAGAAATATTATTAACATCAGTGGTCCAGTGAGTCTGTCTGAAAGTGTCAGTGTTGGTAACTGATAATTATTTTCCAGACAGAAATTATTTCAAAACTGAAGACTGCAAGATGAGTGACACAATTAGTTGATAGCAAGAAATAATCAATTTAAAATCCAAGTGCACATTTGCTTGCTTGTGCTACTCCTGCCGTCACCATATTGGTCAAACCCTGTAGTTAATTGTTATAATATCAAAGGTGACGAATTACTCCTTAATTTTGGCGCGAAATTTCAGCGTTAATTTGTAATTTCACATGTGAAATTACTAAATTGCCATGGCAACCTGCCGTAGGTCTCCGTTTCAAGATGGCAACGAGGTTTTAAAATGTCATGAATGAAGATGTCAGGGCATAAAAGATGCTTTAGATGACCTGAACACACGAAAGAGCACATCAAGAAGGATTCTTAGAGGTATGTTGTCGAAAAATTCTAAAAACTTAAGCCAAATTTCTGCTCTAAACGTTTGAGAGAGTGGAGTTCACGATAGATCGATACAATTGAGGACAAACAAGTCAAAAATCCTCGATTGCTAAGGTAATTCGTCACCCATGATATTAATAGGTAATCAAATGGTATACTCGTGAAATTAGGGAATAATTTCACTTGTGTTTTGTCCAAATCCTAATAATTACCCGAGCCTAAACGCGCATGAAATTATTCCCTAATTTCACTTGTCACCATTTGATTACACATACTAATCTATAACTTAAAATAATTATGTACAGTACGTTACTTTAGATGATAAGGCATTTTGTTCCCTTCAGGCAAGTTATATTTAGGTGCGGACAAGTGGAAAATGAAATTTACTTGCTCACAGGGCAAGTGGATTTCAATTTTTTTTTCCTGCCTTGTTTCAGAAGGCCCTAGTGCCCCTTCCTTCCTCAAAATAGAATTGTCTTTCCCTCATTTTTTACAGTCAAAACAGGTCAAGCGTAGCCCCCCAAGATTCTATTAATGAATTGATTATTTGAAAAATGAATCCGTTAATTGTTCACGTAACTGGTGTCAAATTCAAATCGGAATTACTGCATGAGTAATAAGCAGTGAATAATTTATGAGAGCTTGTTTGTATTTGGTCAGACTGAAAATCTTTGAATGAATTACAATTCTTAGAAGACATTTACATCAAATTCAGGGAAACTGATAGAAATTTCGTAACTGAATCGCGTGTGAATTCACGGCTCATTACGCATGCAAGAATGTAGAGATGAATCTGAAATCTACAATTGCTAACAGACTCAACTTTCAAATAATAAATTCATTAATGGAATTTTGTGGGGTACGCTTGACCTGGCTTGACTGTAATAACTAAAAACAAAATAAAACAAAAAATGATGAGGGCGGGGCAAGAATCAAGAGACAACTTACTAGACCAGTTTCACTGATTGCCACCCAACCATCCCGGGCTCTCATGCCTCCTATCTCCACTAATGGGGGTTTGCTTTTGTTGGTTATGAAGCGATCGCTGAGCTTCTTAGGAACAGGTGCAGTAAAATGAGAATCATCACCAAACAAGCTGAACAGATTCTGTTGGTAAGTAATGCAGCATCAAAACTCAAGTCATTATCACCAAATCAAGATAGAGTAGTACAACTCAGTAAAACTTTTTCTTTAACTCTTTAAAAAAATAATGTCAACATTAAATTATGTAAAAAAAAAATACATGGCCATTGTTTGAACTTTAGAACAGTGTTATTAAGTGGCTGTTCACTACTGCACTGCCACTGAACACTTTTGCTAGACTGAGGTGTGTGGTGTTTGTTAACGTATTAAAGCAGTTTTATTGAAGAAGTTACATAAATGCTTTACGCACTATAGCAATGCAGGTAAAATCCATTCTCGGGTGAAACCAGAATTTATCCAGGGTTAATGAAACCCTTGTACAAAGCTTAAGGTATCATCCAGGTTACCCATTCATTAAATCAAAATAATTTACTTGCAATTTTTAGATGATTAGAAAGAGCTCATTGAGAACTTTTTTTAAAAAAAATTATTGCTGCAGAGAATTATGGAGCACACAAGATTCTTCAATGCCTATTACTTTCATTGATTGTTGACAAATTCTGCCACACATGTCACAACACCAGTCAAATGAAAATCGTGCAAGCCAGCTCATTTTATCTTCTTTATAAAATATCACACTGTACCTTGACACCAGTGTCTATCCATGACAAAGCCACTAATCTTTCTCCTTCACCCACATCAACTGTACACACAGACTCCCAGTCGTTAACCATGTGGTCCTGTTAAAATTATATTATGAGACAACAACAGGAATTTGCTTTTCAGTATGTCAATTTAAATTTCTTAATTCAGGATTTTTAAAGAGTCTGTCAGCAGACTTTTTGTTGTGGCCCTGTTGAAGCATATTAAAACAAGTGACAAAAAAGTAAAAAAACAACCATAAAATTAAAGTATAACTTAAAATAATAGATGCATGTATGTGTGACAGTCCTTTGTAAGGCTGAGCTCTAGGAAAACCTGAAGGGAGCCTACACATAAAGTGCTCAGAATCTGTAAAATGCAGGTGCCCAGTATTAGATTTCTATGAAAAAAATAAATTTCTTAGTTTCACAAGAGCAAAAGTATAAAGGCACCAAGGAACAACCATGGGCAACAGCATTTCTAGTCTGTTAGACCAAAATGGTGGCCTAGTCACACATACATCCTTTCTAAAAAGAAACATTATTTGCAGGCCTGCTTACAACATTATTTTTTACCTTCATAACCCACAGTTTGCACACACCAACAAGGTCGGCAGAAAGAAGTCTTGAACCAGTGCCATCCCATGTCAGACTTTGAATTAATTCCTTGTGACCAGAACTAAAACTTGAGTTTCACAAAAATGATACAGTATTAAAATAGCATTCTATAGCATACACTTGGTTAATACTTCGTAGAACAAGTATTAATTTTGAAATAAGATGTTGGGACAGGTCTCAGTTTTCCTATTTTTTCTCTTCAAAGACCCTGTAAGCTCCATCACTTTCACTTATGCACAGTTGTAGTAATGAATACGATGTACAAAATTTAGTTTCATCATCCACAGGTACCCACTATTGTGAGCAATTTTTTTGATTCAGAGTCATCAGTGGTTAACAAGGCAAAATTATATTGAAAGTTAGTCCAAGACCAGCAACTGAAACATGTAATATTTTGCTCGCCTAAAATTTCTCAGGGCAGGTGACCAAATCTAGGGCAATTCACAAAAAGGTCAAGGAATATGGCTTCACCTACATTATGTTGTAGGTGAGATCTGTTCTCAGTTTAAACCAGAATTTCCATTGTACCCCACAAATGATTAGAGCCAGGCAACAAAGGACATTCCAAATCAGACCAGGTTGAAATTATTATACTTATCTACATGACCTTAAACTGAGAATGGATTTTACATACAAAATACAATGTATTCACTGTAAAGGTTTAAGGATATGTAACAAGGATACCAAGAAGCTCATTTGTCACCACCCCTCACAACTAAAAAGCAAAAGTCATACACTGATTTGGTCATAAGATTAATGTAGCCATGATCTTCAAGCAAAAGGACTTAAGCATGTGTGAAAAATTAATACGAGAAATGGTACTGGGAACCCTGCAAAAGTGTGGAATGGTACAGGCAAAGGACGAATAAAAGAAGAATCCATGTTTTGGTGCATGCTATTGTGATATGGACAAATTTCACTCATATTGACCAGCAATAAGGTAAGACACACAGCATAAACATAATTACCTGCAAACATCCCATGGTGTATCCGGATCAAAGATGTGTATGCCATTTGTTATTTGTGATCTAGAACATTTTACAAAGGATAACTACACTTACAAAAAACAGGTTATTACGATGAAGGGGGAAAGCAAAAACAAATTAAGAAGAATGGTGAAAATGTTAGGAGAGTGATGGTAACCTTTAACAAATAATTTTTGGTTATAAGTGATGTACGTGCAAGAAAACATTTTTCAACACATTCTACTTTTTGAATTTAGAATAAGCTTAATACTAGTTTGCATTATATTATTGACCTAAAGAAGTTAAGTTACTGTCAAAACAAGGTTGGTTTTAAACACGCAAGACAACATACTTCAATAATAATTATCATATATACTAGTATTATCTAAATTAGGTCTATGAAAAGTGTCTTCACCTTGAATTTTGGTCATTTGAAGAGCATGCATTGCTCGCTTCAGTAGTACTACGTGTAAGTTTTCTGTACCCAGTACTGAATGCTATTAGATTTCTGCAGGACCAAGCAGCCACAACTTTTCCACAAAGATTGCTACAGAACAGTCAGAAGAATGATGCTTAGACAGTTGTTTTGTATCAATAAAAATGTATATCAGCTACTTCATAAACAGGGTAGGTAAAGGTAGTCTAATTTACAGGCTGATGAAAAGTATAGACTACACCTGTAATATTTTTTGCCAATTGAGGTAATAATAATATTTAAGAAAGATTTTTTAAAACCTTGTTGCTACTGTTGATTGTTTTACTTTAAACCAGCTCCCTTAACAGGGCTCAAAGTTTATTTTTGGCTTCAGGAGAACATGTGCTAGCAGATGTAAATTTCTCGGCCCACTGCCAAAACTTTTAGGTGCTCAGCTAAAAAATGTGAGGAGCACAGCTTAGAAAATGAAGTCACTAAAAAAAATTTGGAAGCTTCAGGCTCTGTGTTAGCCTGCGAAAGCAGCCATTGCTCCTCGCTCCTCACCACTAGTTCTATAAAAGTAATCTTTTACAATGTATTAGCAGGGGCATTGCCAGCCTTTCGACTAGTTGTAAGGCTTAAACTGACCTCACCAACTCTTTGAGCTCTTAAGCTTTTTAGCTCACCCCAACAATGGATAATTTATTAAAAGCAGTAGAGTGATCAAACCAAGGTGCATTGCGCCTAATAAAATTTTGGGTGACATAACTTAAAAAAATATTTTGGGCGACATAACGCTGGTTTCAGGAGACATAACTTCAGGTGAGATGACTTTCGGGTAACTTGACCAGTTACCTTATCCCATGTCCACATTGTGGGTGACTTATGCACTTGCGGATCAGAAGCATCAATCACACTCACATAGGACAAGTTCTCAAGTCTGACTCACAATTCGGAAATCTTCGTTCATTAAAGTGAAAAACTGAATTCATTATTCACTCAAAAACGTCCAGTAAACAGTGCAGTTACAAACGTACTGCTGCTGTTCAGTCCTTTATTACAACATACTAAAAGGTCATAACATTTAGCAATCTTCAGAAATCACCAGAACACCTAAAATAAATATAATTATTGCAATGATAATGACAAACCCAAGCATTTTCTCTTGTTGAGCTTTCTTCAGCAGCTGTACATGTTATTTTGGAGAAAGACAAAAACAATGCAAGAGTAACGCAAGAGAACCAAGACTCGCATGTGGTATAATCCAAGTACTTAAGATTCCTTTTACCTCTTTAAAGGCTTTTCTGTTGACCACAGTACGTTATAGATCAAATCCATGCCTCATCCCTCAAAACCCTTCCTGTTCCGCCATATTGAAAATGAACAACCGCTGGCTGGTGGCTAGTGATTGTTGAGCGACCGGAAGTAAGCTGGTAGGTTGATTGACAGACCGGAAGTTACAAGGCTCAGAACAAAGACATGAGGAAAAATTATTGTTAATGCAAACATGCATGTCGTGTAAGGTTACTTACGTACAAAATCGATTTTCATGAGGTTTTTTAACTAAAAGCCGTTGAGAGTCATTCATAATCAAATTTAAAGGGTTGCGAACTGCCAGGATCGTAAAAAGCCTTCCATGTGCGTGCGTCCGCAAGATCTGGACTGTGTGCAGCGAATCGGAGAGTCTTGCAACATCTCTGGAACCATCGAACCATCGACAGATAAACACAGACATATTCTGAACTCAACCATCTTGTGATTGAATCATGGCTGCAGATCTGACTACTGCCGATGTTTACGAAGATGCTTCGCTTATAGGGCAAGACATAGAGAGGGTAATCGAACGTTTTGGGCACGATGCTGTCATAGATTTGATGCCGAAGATAATAAGTGTGCTTGAGAAGCTCGAACTGGTGGTAGCTGAAAAGGAGAAAAACAGACTCGAAATCGCCGAGCTGAAACTCGAAAATGAGAGACTTTACACGGAGATAAAGCGGGAAGCAAGCCAAAGAAGAAGACTAGACGAGGTAAGTTCAGGTTTCGATCAGTATTTCATTATTCTGTGTCGGAACGCGCGTAGCATTAATTATGGGAACTAAAATGAGTAATCGACTGATGATGGTTTCTTCTCGGTTCGGATTGCTGTCATTGCTTGTTTGGATGGGTAATTTGCCTTATTATCCTCTAGGTATCACATTAGAGGCTAGTGGTTGGCTTACTCAGGGCACTTAAAATCGAATCAGCAGTGTTCAAAGGATCGATCGAAAGCAACAAGTAGTTGCGTCATTCAGTGTACTGTTCATTGTAATTATTGTAAGTGAGTTGTATTAAAGTGGTTACAGGGGTTTCTCTGAACATTAGCGCTGAACCATGTAAAAAAGCATTGCTCCTTGGTCGCAACAATGATCATTTGCCCAAAATTTGACATCTTCCGTTTTGGAACATTGTAGTCATGATATTGCTTCGATATGTTAAGTTGTTTACTTCATGTTACATTATGCGGAAATTCTTTCACCGCAAAACCGCCTGACTATTTACACAATTAATTCCATACTGAACTGCTCGTGTAAGAACTACGGTAAAATTGCTCGTTAGTTCTGACCATGTATTATTCTTTCATAAACTGACTCACTATGTCAAGTTGTGGCGGGATCAAAGTTCCGCTTTGAAGCAGATACACACAGCCATCAAGATCATCAAGAAAACAAGCAATACGCAAAATCAATTGAAAAGAAACTTTCAATATACGGTGTTTGCCGTTAGAAAGGGAGAAAATTTTTATCCCTGTTATTGCACAAAATTAGGTATCACGCAAAATTTTCTTAGTGAGTACAATGGGCACATTCAGAACACGTCATTCAAACCAAGTTTTTTTTTTTTTTTTCATTTTTAGATTGGCATTATTTAATGTTGGAAATGACATCATCTCATTATGGCCCATGTGACCAAACTGACTGTGCCAAAAATGTGAAAATTTTATTTACTGTCAGCAAACCTTTTGGTTATGAGGAATAAGTACATTACTTTTAGTTCACTGAACTGGAGCAAATTTATTGTTAGAACTGAGATCGATCTTCTTTCGTTGCACTTTTAAACTTAAGAAATGTCTTAATTTCAGGGCAAAAACCCATTATTATAATACACCCCGGTTTGCATAAATTTACTCTCATTTAAAGCTCTCATGATCAAAGAAAGTTCAGCTTTCTTTGTAGATATGTGACACATGACTATTTTATGTGATAAACTGTGCCAAAACATTTAAATAACCAAAACTGAACAAGGAAGTCAAGCTGATTCATTTACCATGTTTCACCCTTTTACTTCCAGAAGTGGCCACAGTCAATAAATTATTGAATAATTATTTCAACAAAAATTCCAAATTTCATTTTGTAAAATACTGAAAAACAAATAACTCCCTGGTGACCCTTTAAGTCTCCAGAGTCCAACATCAATTTTCGCCTAAAAAAATCAAGATATCATCAAGAGAAAATGTCAAGCAAATTAATGAAATGATTTTCAAGGAAAAAGTGCTTCGATATATTAAAATTCTAAATTTTTCACAACTCCATTGTCTTGCAATTCCCAGAAGAGACTTGAGCACAAAGGAAACCAAACCAAATATAGAAAAGTGACAAGAAAGCCTCTGAGTCATATTAGAATTTTAATATATTGAACATAGGCAGGAGCCCATCAAATGGAGCCTCCATCTCCATTAATTTCGTGAGTTAACCCTTTCCCGAGTAGATTTATAAATAGAACGGCTTGTTTCCCGCAAAAGTGTCATATTTCCGTGAGTCTCGTATGTATATTTGATAGGCTCCTGACAAAGGCAATTCTTTCTTAATGAAATCTATGGACCAGTGGTCAGTGACCGCAGAGCAAAATTTGGAAGGAAGCTAACAACCGCTGACGGTGGCGGCGGGAGAAATTGGGGGATCCCCCCTGAAATTTTAAAACAGACTCTCGGAAATGCGATTTCCAGCGTTTTGAGGTGCATTGGCAACTTTTTTTTTTCAATCAGTATTTATCCAGGGGCATCCAATTTAGCAGAAATGGCGGCAAAATTAGTGTGGACGCTATCGCTCGCGGCTCCGCCGTCCATGGTGGTGGATTCAGTCATTAAGTAATTTTGGGGCACGCTTATAAGAGGGGGCCCAAAATAAAATATTTTTCTTGGCCTAAAGGTCTCAGTTTGGCCTTAAAATAAGGTGGGGGCGTGAGCCCAAAGGCCCCTCCCCAAGATCGAGCCTCTCTATCGGTAGTTCCGAAGAAATCGAACCGACCGACGATCACCTTTGATGAAACGACGATCTTAAGGTGATGTTACACGGAACGATTGGCAACGACGATTTTTAGCGCAACACAGCATTACAACATTGTTGCGACGTTGTTTCGAACAGCTGCAACATTGTTCCAACGTTGCAACACAGTGTTGCGCAAAAAATCGTCGTTGCGAATCGTCTCGTGTAACATCACCCTCGCTACTCCGATCAAGTTTGACAGCGTTAGTCGTGCGATGACGGCAAAGAAATCTGCTGAAAGGTCTGCTGTACGTTCAGAGTTTTTGTTTTGCGTGTTAAACCCGTTGCATTTTTGTATTCTTGTTTCCGTTTTCGTGGTTGCTCAGGCTCGCTAGTAGCGTTACTACGCAAAACAACTCTTGACACGCGACAGTCAATTTCGTTGAAAAACCCACGATTTAATGAAAAACGTGCGACGACTGAAACGACGTCTGCAGGTACCGACAAAGAGGCCAAAGATCTACCACTGTGGAGATCGGTGGGAAGAATTTTTATTAGGATATTTGGGCTAAAAGGGGTTAAGTGCTTCCAAAGAGGTTTCAGGGACCTTGCGATCCGACATCGGCGAGGTCCTTGAAAACTTCGCTAAAAAGGAGACTCCGCGTCTTTTCAAACCAGGGGAGGGAGGGGAATTTATGTTGGAGCTGAAGAGAGGGGGCCGCGCCCGTGTTCAGACAGAGGCGTTAGAATTTATCGCCTTGCCGTTCCCGTCCTCAAAAAAAAGTTAAAATTTGGTCATTTCACGTTGTAGTCGTGCAGGGACGGCAAAGAAATGTACAAAAAGGCGTGATGCAGGGGCAGAGTTGTTGTTTCGCCAACTAAACCTATTGCTCTTTGACGTTGCCGTTGCGGCGTGGCC